AACAGGTGCTCAGCCACCTTTAGGAAAACACCAAATGATCTAACACACGTACAACTGTCATCCCGGAAAACGAGAGCAGAAAAAACTATTTGAAGAAGGAATGCAGAATGTTTTCAGAATCTGATGCAAACCATGAACCTACCGAATCAGGAAATGCAGCGAATCCCAAACATTAAAACCCTGAAGATGATCGTGCCAAGGCAGCATCAAAATCAGATCAACGAGGGGCGGAGGGGTCAGAGGGGCAGAGCACAGAACAGCAGTGGTGGTGGCGGGGGACCTCCAGGGGACATGGCATTGTTCTGATCCGCTTTCTACTGCTGTGATACAGGTCTTGTCCAAAAGCAACTTGGGGAGGAAAGGGTTCTGCTCACAGATCATCATGAAGGGAAGTCAAGGCAGGAATTCAAGGCAGGAACCTATGTGGGGTGTGGTGGTGCACACCTTTAACCCCAGCACTCAGGAGGCAGAGGCACATAGATCTGAGTTTGAGGCTAGCCTGGTCTACATAGTGAGTTCCAGGACAGCCAGAGCATAGTGAGATCCTGTCTTTAAAAAAAAGACAATACAAACAAAATAGGTGAAGGCTGTCGTAGTGACACGTTCTTGGAATCCCAGCACTGGAGAGAGAGAGACAAGAGGAACACTGCAGGTTCAAGGGCAGCCTGGGCTACATAGTGAGATATTGTCTCTAAGACAAAACAACAACAACAATTAGGTGGGTTTTGAAAAAAAGTCACAAAGCAGACTCTGTGAATTCAAGGACAACTTTGTCTACATAAGTAGTTCCAGGTCAGCCAGGACTACACAGACACCCCTGTCTCAAACAAAACAAAACGGCTCCTCAAACAACAAGAGAAGAAAAAGATACAGTGCTCACAGAGGAAAAAAGGTAAGAATTGCAGTGAACTTCTTCTCTGTGACCATGGGGGTCAGGAGATGGGGATGCAGCTCAGAGGGGGAGTGGGTGTCTAGCATGATCAAAGTCCTGAGTTCAGTGTTCAGCACCAAAACAACAGAAAAACACATTTATGGCTGGGGTTATAGCCCAGTGCAGGGCCCTGTCAATCTCCAGTGAAAAAAAGAAAAAGAGAAAAGGAACCACTTTTAAATATGCAGGCACATTTGGTTCAAAACAAAAGGCTGGGAAAAGGTACAGATATTACTAGTAATCAAAAGACAGCTGGAGGAGCTATAATAATAAGAAATGGACAGAACAGGAATATTCCCAGGGATAAAGAGAGGTATTTCAAAAGTACATACAGATCATGTGTGTGCAGGTAGTTGTTAACAGTGCTTCTCCATACACGGAATACACGGAATGAGAACGCGGAACACAGAGATGTGTGGACAGGGATGTGGTACAGGGACCATCAGCACATCCCTGGGTACTGACAGGGTAAATGGGAAATCGGGACAGAAAAGGCTTGAACACCAAGGTCGAGCAGTTTGACCAGGTTGACACTTGTGCAAAATACTGTCCAGCAATATAGAAAAAGGAGAAATCCACAAGAAGAAATCTGGGAGGTCCCCAACTGCTTGGAGGTTAAAAAGCAGACCTCTGCATTAAAAAAACAAAAATAAACAAACAAAAAAAACTGAAAGGAAAAGAACAATGTAACACATTAAAATATGTGATGCCATTAAGACTGCCTCTGTGGACATATTTAAGATAGTAAATATTACTTTACTAAGTGGAAAGAGAGATCTGCGTTTAGTGGTAGAAACTTTCTTCTAAGAGTTTAAAAAAAAAAAAAAAAAGGCATGTGACCCAGAGGAAGAAAGGACATGGAAAAGCTGTTTGCTTTTGAAAATATGGTTGGTCATGCTTGCCAACAAAAGTCTATAAAATATAAATCACTAACATGAGCAATAAAGGAGGGACATTTCCACAGATATTAAAAGGACAATTTGGCCAGTTATGAGAGTGCACACCTTTAAACCCAGCACTTGGGCACAGGCAGGTTGGTCTATATAGCAAAGTGACAAGGATAATCAAAGACCATTACCAACAATTTTATGCAAATGAACCTCCTGAAGAGGAAATGGAAGAATTTCCTTGAAATGTGCTTATTACCAAAGTTCCCTCAAGAAGAAACAGACTAGCCAGGAAGTGGCAGCACACTTTTTTTATCCCAGCACTCAGGAAGCAGAGGCGGGTAGATCTCTGATCAAGACCAGCCTGGTCTACAGAGCTGACTACGCAGAGAAATGCTGTCTCAAAAAACCAACCAACCAACCAAACAAACAAACAAACAAAAACAAAGCCAGAAACAGACAAGAGCCCTGTGTCTATTAAGCAAAAGGACTGTGTCACTGAAAACCTTGCCTCAAGGAAACATCAGGCCTTGACTCCATTTGTGAATGCAAAGAAGAAATATCAATCCAAATATTTGGGGAGGAAATAATGCCAATACCAGGAAATGAAAAGAGAACTAGGGTGGGCAAGATGGCAGGGAAAGACGCTTGCTGCCAAGCCTGATGACCCGAGTTCAATCCCAGGGATCCACACGGGGAAAGGAGAGAATGGACTCCCTCAAATCGTCCTTTGACCTCCAATGTGCATGCACAGACACACAAATAAATGTAATGTTAAAAAAAAGGAGGAAGAAATAAACACTTTTAAATTCATTTTGTGAAGCAAGAGTCAAAGACATTCTAAAAACAGAAGAAAGCTAGCATCTAATAACCATGTGTGTAGGCGAGGACGTCTACATCACGACCAAGTAGCAGTAATTCCAGACATTCGAGCCTGGTGCAGTGGCGCACACCATTAATCCCAGCACTCAGGAGGCAGAGGCAGGCAGATCTCAGTGAGTTCGAGATCAGCCTGGTCCACAGAGTGAGTTCCATACAGCCAATGCTACACAGAGATCTGCCTCGAAAAACCAACCAATCAAACAACAACAACAGAAACTTCGTAGAGCCAAATGTGCTGGCAACACATCTTCATTCCCGGCACTCAGGAAGCTGAGGTAGGAGGATTGCAAGTTCTAGGTCAGCATGGGCTATTAATATATAAAGAGACCTTGTCTCAAAAATCAACCAAACAAGTGAAAAACCAAAAACAAACAAAAAATGTCTAACTAACATCCTAATTAATGTAGAAAGGCCGTGTGCATACCTACTCAAGCTGGTATTAAGATAAATACCTGTTATCATCAGCTCCATCCAGGTGGCTTGGGTGCCCTGTGCAATGCAATGTTATAAGGGAAAAAGTAACGGCCAGACAGATAGAAACGGAGGAAATAAACCCCTTCTTTATGTACAGATGCATGTATGTATTAAAATTTCTAATCTGCAGAGAAGCTTTTATTACTGAAAAATGAGGCTAAGTTGGAGGACACAAGATCAATACATAAAAATCCCCAGAAATAGAGAATTGGAAGTGGACATTTTGGGGGACTGGGGAATGCAGCTCATTGGCATCATACAACCCCCCAGCATCATAAAACAAAAGGCAGTTTGTTTTTTTTTTTTTTGGAGACAGGGTCTCATGTCAAGACTTTTGCAAAATTCCATTTTCAAGACATAAAATATGAGCAGCAGGCGAAACTCTGAGCTCAAGGCCAGCCTGGTCTACAGAGCAAGTTCCAGAACAACCAGGCCTACACAAAAAATCCTGTCTCGAAAAAACAAACAATAGCAAAACAAAAAGAAAGAAAGAAAGAAAAGAAATACGAAACCCCTAGGGTTCCATGTAAGAAAATCTGTGTTGGAATGGGGAGCGGGGCTCATGAGGCAAAGCTGCCTGGGGGCCTGAGTCTGGATCCTCAGGACCCATGAAAAGCAGGACACAGCAAACAAGGCAGACGGTGGGGACTAACGCCCAAGGTTGTTCTCTGACCTTCCCATGTGCACTGTGGCACATACATGCCCCCCACACACACCACACACACCACACACACACCTTGCCGCCGCCGCCGCCGCCAAAACCGCCGCCGCCACCACCGCCACAATATTGATGCACTTACAAGTACAAAATACTGCTGAGAAATGTAAAGATATCAAAATAAATGGAGAGATACACCATATTAGTGGATCAGAATCCCCAAGGATGCTAAGATATTCTCACTGAATTTTTGATGCAATGCCAATCAAAATCTAGCAAGAATTTTTTTAATGAGTAAACTTTTTAGTTTGTGTGTGTGTGTGTGTGTGTGTGTGTGTGTGTGTGTGTGTGTGTGCAGGTGCCTGTAGAGGCCAGAAAAGGGCATCTGATTCCCTGAAGCTAGAGTTCCAGGCGGTTTGAACTGCTCTATGTGTGGATTGTTGGAAAGTGAGCCTGGGTGTTTTGTAAGAGCAGTACATGCTCTAACCACTGAGCAGCCTCACCAGTCCCAGGAAGATTGTGTGGTAGCAGTTGATCTGTTGATGGTAGCATTTGTGTGGCATTGTAGAAAGGCAGTTAGTGTGACAGGAAGCTCAGGAATTGGCAGATGCCAGATCCAGAGGGAAATGACTGTAAAAGCACATGGGAACTTTTTGGGTTTTGGATAACCTTAATGTCTTAGTCTTGGTGGTATATAGCCCAATCACACACATTTTCAAAACTTAGACTCATATCTTTACCACTGAAGAATTTTATGACATGTAGATTATATCTCAGCCAAGCTAAGTTAATAATGAAAATAGCTGGGCGGTGGTGGCACACATCTTTAATCCCAGCACTCGGGAGGCAGAGCCAGGCAGATCTTTGTGAGTTCGAGGACAGCCTGGTCTACAGAGCGAGATCCAGGACAGGCACCAAAACTACACAGAGAAACCCTGTCTCGGAAAAAAAATGAAAATAATATCTAAAGCCTCAGTGGCTGTATGTAGCGGTGAGGGTGAACTTGTGTGGCCTCCTTAATTCCGTCAGTATGTGTGCTTGGAATCTGCGGTGGCACAGCATTTGGTGCATGTCAGCTTCTGCCCCACAAGATCTCTCAACCTAACCCATCATTAGCACAGAGCTGACTGTGGATAATGACCCCTGAAAATGCTGTATCTTATTTCAGGTGTTTAGAAGAATGCGAGGCTGAGGTTTTCCTCAAACGGATTGAACATGCTCCAGAGCTTCGCTAACATGGACAGCATTCTCCTGAAAGATGAAGACCCTGGCAAACAGATCAAGCATGGCGACAAAGTACAGAAAGGTGCAGTGGATTTAAATCACAGTATGCCCACTCTATGTAAGAGCACAGTCGGGAGGATTAGGAAACCCTGGGTGTTATCCACAAGGCCATCCTCCGAGAGTGTATCAGATGGATTGCCTTCAGCCCTGCTGACCCCAGAGTGTAGATGGGGAGAAACTGTAGGAAGGGATGAATGAATGGGAAGGTGGCTGTCCCTTCAACAACAAAACGATAATGAGCTATTTCCGAATGCCTGGCTGCTAGGAGCCATCCCCGCCAGTGGATGGGTCCTGCAGAGGATGTAAGGAGTCGGCGGGGAAGGAAGTGAGCCAGGCTATGGTGGTCAGGAGAATCTTGCAGCCTGACTGACTAGCAGCCAGAGTGTTTTTATTATTATTATTATTATTATTATTATTATTATTATTATTTATATAGAATTTAGTTAGCAGGGATACATTCATGATGTTCCAAAACATAGATCATACCATTTTTGATTTTGGACATGTGTTTCACTTCTTTTTGCTCATCTTTTAGGGGGATAGTATGTTCAGGACTTTCCTGGACTTTCCTATGACTCATAAGGAATTTTTTATCAACCCAATATCCTCAAATTGTACAAATATTAAAAGTGCCCCAAGTATGTAACAGGTGGAGGTGAAAACCAAAGGTGGCCTGGCAGCCATCATGGGGCTCAGCTCTGGTGGATCTTTGTCATCATTAATAAACTATGACAGAACAGAATTATTATTTCCAATCATTTCCCCTCAAGTTTTGACATCATTAATAAACAGAGTTATCACTCTTACTCATTAACCCCATAACCCAATTTTTGAGAATCTAGAGGCACATGGCAGCCTGTGCTCAGGCTGGTTGCTTTGGTTGCTTCAAGGACACTAGACCAAAACAAAAATCTTCAAACCACCCCAGGCATTTTGCCATGTCTCAAGCAGTGTGTTATTAACTCTTAGTGGTCAGAGTGCCCAGGAAAAATCCCCAGGCTAAAGCTGCTGCAGTTATTATTTAAATTCTGGCACAATGTTCACATTTATATCCTTATAGAATTTGTCTGTATATCTAATCCTGGCATTCTGTTGTTCCTTGGTTATATGACATTATAATGGCTCTACATGAGCTAACTTCTAAGAGAGGTCTTGACACCTCATACTTTTATCATCTTTCCATTCCATACTTTGCTCATCAATATGTCTCTATGTAGGGCAGAGTTGTATGCCACGTAATTGTCTGAGTGTAAGTGGGAAGAGGCTTGTAATCTGAACTGTGGACAATTCCTCTAGCCCACTGAATCTTATTGACCTTTTTGAATTTTACTTTGTTTTGAATATCTTGTTCCTGTGTAAGTACAGGGACAAATGTTTCAAGAATGTCTCATAGCCTCATGAAGAGACCTCTGACTTCTTTATGTGTCACAACCTCCAAGGCATAAGGAAGACCTTCAAGTAGATAAGGATATCTCCTTCAAAGTGGGGGCAGGGGATAGTATGTTCAGGACTTTCCTGGGTAAGCTTAGAAGCAACATTCCTGGGAGAAGGCATAAATGACTCATAAGGAATTTTTCATCAACCCAATATCCTCAAATTGTACAAATATTAAAAGTGCCCCAAGTATGTAACAGGTGGAGGTGAAAACCAAAGGTGGCCTGGCAGCCATCATGTGGCTCAGCTCTGGTGGATCTTTGTCAAGCAGCTGCTCTGGCTTTATGACTTCTGCCATTCCATTCAGACATGGCTGTGCCATCCGGCAAGAGTCACATTCTTCGGTTTTAATTGTATAACAGGTCTTGCTTGCTTTATTTCTGACAACTAAATTCTTACTGCAAGTTCTCATTCATTTAACTTTTTTTCTGGGTTTATAGTTGAAATATGTTCCTTGTAGGCAGCATCTAGTTGGGTCTTTCTTGTCCAGTCTGACAATTCCTGTCTTTTAACTGGAATGTGTAGACCACTTAACGTTTCATGTGGTTAGGAATGTGTAAGTCTGTTGATTTGTGACTTCCTTTCTGTCCTATCTGTTTATTCTCTATTGGTTCACTCTTTTCTATTGAATATTTTAATTTTTAAAACATTTATTTTATTTTATATGTTTGGGCTGCATACCATGTGAATTCAGTGTTTGAAGAGGCCAGAAGAGGGTGTTTGATCCCCTGGAACTTTAAATACAGATGGGTGTAAGCTGCCATGTGGGTGCTGGGAATTGACCCTGGGTCCTCTGGAAGAGCAGCCCATGCTCTTAACCTTTCAGCCATCTCTTCAGTCCCATTTTAATTTTTTTTTTTTTTTTGGTTTTTCGAGACAGGGTTTCTCTGTGTAGCTTTGCGCCTTTCCTGGATCTCGCGCTATAGCCCAGGCTGGCCTCGAACTCACAGAGATCCGCCTGCCTCTGCCTCCCGAGTGCTGGGATTAAAGGCGTGCGCTACCACCGCCCGGCCCATTTTAATTTTTAAAAATCACACATTTATTTTGTACGTGCATGCGACGAGGCACATGGACAAGAGAACAACTTTGGGAGTTGCTTCTCTCCTTCCACCATGGGGTTCTTGGGACCTGAACTCAGGCTTGGCAGCAAGAGCCCTTGCCCACCGAGCCATTATCTGACCCTGTATTGAACTTTTGTTTTTAATCCAAAGAGGACAGTTTTATTGGTGCTTAAAAGAAAAGCCCTAGAGCAGACAAGCAGTAAATCTCAGCAGCTGCCAGGAGGAGGACAGAGAAGAGCAGGAGAAAATGCCACACTGGCTTCATGTCATCAGGCAGCGTGTGCGTGTGCGTGTGCGGTGTGTGTGCGGTGTGTGTGTGTGTGTGTGTGTGCTGTAGAGAAAGAGTAAGGAAGTCTAAACTACTAATATAAGTATACTTTTGTTCTGGCCAGAATCCACGAGAAAGACATAGAAAAAGGAAAAGGAAAAGTGGTATCTTTCTGAGTCACAAAGGTGGGCAGACCCCCTGAACCTCATGGCCGCTAGTAAGGACTGCCTATATTGAGTTCTCTTTTGTTAACTCACTAGGATAACTGTTTGTTTGGTTGTTTATTTATTTTTTGAGACTGTGTCTCATAAGTTCCAGGCTGGCCTTGAACTCAATATGTAGCCAAGGGATGACCTTGGATTTCTAATCCTCTGGCCATCACACCTGGTATTATGTGGTGCTGGGGATGGAACCCAGGGCTTGGTGCATGCTAGGGAAATACTCTACCAGCCGAGCTCCATCTGCAGCCTGGGATGACTCCTCACAGCGTTTTCCTAGCGGCCGCACGGAGCAAACACTGGCAGCGTGGCGCTCATGCTGTCCTATTTCTGTTGTTCAGGTTTTACCGCTGCGTACCCAACTCAAGCCTCCATTCCTTATAAATACAGAATGTCAATAATCCCAGAGTCAGAAAAAAAGGGATTTAACAGCCAAGCCAGGAGATTCTATCACAAAAAGGTAAATGACATTGCCTTCAAAATTCTTTGCTTGGATTTTAGCTGCTGTGTTTCTCTGTGAACAGCAGAGGGCAGGATCACCCAAGGAGCTGCCCCATCCTCCGAGGAGGCACACTGTCAATATGGTAAGAGCCAGCCTGAAATTGATGGATTGATTGATCGATCTGCTTATTTGCTGTGTTGGGGATTCACCCCAGGACTTTGCATATACTATGTGCTTGGAAAACATAACCAGGGGTCTTGCTATGTAGCCCAGGCTGACTTTGAACTCAGGGTCCTCCTTCCTTGGCCACCTGTGTGTTTGAATTGGAGGAATGTGCAATCACATCCTGTAGCCAAAATTATGTTTAATTTTAAAAGAATAAAAATACAAGATCTTCCAAAGCATATGTACATGTAGGAGACGATAAAAACCACCCCACTCTGATCTATCCGAGTGAATGACATAATCCCCCAGCTAACACATGGGTAGACAAGTTTCTAATAAACTTATAGTTGTGTTTGTGATGAGCTCCCCCATTAAAAATTTCTGAAAACAACAACAAAAATAAAATAAAATTCATTTAGCAATGTCTTATTGTTACTGCGGGGCCTGGTAAGACAAATTAGCAGGCAAAAGTGCCTGCCACCAAGCCTTGAGCCCTGAGCCCCATGGTGGAGAGTAGCCAATCCTTTTTTTTTTAATTTTTTTATTTTTTCGAGACAGGGTTTCTCTGTGTAGCTTTGGTGCCTTTCCTGGAACTCACTCTGTAGCCCAGGCTGGTCTTGAACTCATAGAGATCCACCCGCCTCTGCCTCCTGAGTGCTGGGATCAAAGGTGTGCGCCACCACTGCCTGGCGCCAATTCTTTTAAAAGTTGTCCTCTGATCTCCACCCGTATGCCATGGTATGTGCACACACATGAGTAAATAAATAAATGCAATTTAAAAATAATGCTATACTTGGCTTTCTCTATCTATCCCCTTTTCTCTAGATCTCCAAGTCTGGGAAGTTCTGGTTGTTTCCTGGCCAACCTTCAACTTATTTCTGGGGTTTGACCTTCTCCTTTCCTACCAGCAGGGGGCAGTAGCAGCTCACAGGCATCCCGTAGAGGCTTCACCTCTTCACATTCCTCCTTTTAAGCAGGACCCAGAGAGTAGCATGCCTTTGGAGAAGTGGCCATCCCAGTCACCTTCTGCTGCATTCTGTAGGTGACTGTCATCCTCCCACCTTCCCTAGATGGCAGAGAAGGGGTGGGAGGACCCCGGTTCTGAACACAGGTGAGGGATACCGTCGACCCCCGCCGCAGAGCCCTCACCCCAAGGACTCTTCCCTTGTGAGCTGGAATGCGGAACTAGAGAGTGGATTAAGTTCTTTTAACCTCTGAATTACCTCAGGATTCTATGAAGCCTGCAATAAGGAATACAGCACACACATATTTTAGAATCAGTCACTGGTAGCTTTGCTCAGGATGATAAATATTTGCTCAGACGTTTTTCCTTTTTCTCTAGTTTCTCTGTATTTTAGCTGTCAGCCTCTTCCCCACTTAGCTGGGTGGGTTCCCATGGATCTGCTTTAATGATAGTGTGTTAGCTGTCCATGTCCAGGGTGTTTGCAGCTTAGTTTCCAATAAAAAGAATAGTAGCTGTCACTGACCAATCCCTAATATGTGTCAAAGCATTTTTAGATCGTATCACTGCTCTCTAGAACAATGCGAAAAGGAAGGTTTGGTGTCTTCATTGAACATAAGAGGAAACCGAGGCTTAGGGAGGTTAAGTGACCCACCCTCGGTCACCAACCAGGGTTTGCCACATAAGAGGCTTTAAATAAATATTTGCTGAATCAACGTTGAAAGAATTAGACCTCAACCCAGGCGCAGCTCGATCCAAAGCTTCTCGCTCTTTCCACACGGGCCACGCCTGCCTTTGTGGCCTTCGAGGCTGTAAAGTTGGTTGATGAAAGTCAGCATGCTTCTGGAATAGCCTTGGCAAAACAGACGGATCTCCAGGGAGGGCAATAAATGCTCCTTGCCGGGGCTCCATCCCACGTGGCAAGCTCTGAAGACTGATCCAGGAGCTCAAAGTACCGTGTGAAATCCTATCATGTCTCCTGCCCAGGGAGCTGGCATGGCCACCAGCCAGAACTGCAGCCACATAGATACAGGCAGAAACCACTCAGAAGTTTGGTTCCAAAGTGTCCAATGTGGTCATATCCATTTGATGCAAAAGCTTTCATCTGAGCCTTGGAAAGCTTTTTTTTTTTTTTTTCAAAAGCATGGGTCGATACAGACCCAGCTCTCTGTGTTCTCTGTCCCTAGCTAGCAGCCCTGAGAGCGGTCACCTGTCCTTTTGGGCATCGGTTTCCTCATCTGAAACGTAAAGGTTGGGGCTGTGTAATTCCTGCGGAGTTATATAATCCCCATGTCCTAAGCATGGAGAATCCACTCCTTCCAAGCTCCCTGCCCATCATTCTCATTTCTCCCGGGGGAAATGAGCGTGGAGAAGTAACGCGCTTGCGCGGCATCACCCAGTAATTTAGTGAGACAATGCAAGTTAACAACAGATTCGAAACCTCCCCGACCTCGCCACCCTTCTTAAGACAGGAGGCGCACACACCCTGTGCTGAGCCCACACCCGGTCATCTGCTCACCTTGGAGCTGTGACCCACTTAGCCTGGCTTTACCACGGTGCCCTCAGAGGCAGGCACTCACATTTACTGCAGCTGAGCCTCGGGGCCAGTTTATATTCCTTATAAGAATCCCACCTCCATGGTGCCAGTGAGATGGCTCAGGGGTCAAGGTATCCCCTGGCAAACTTAACGATCTGAGTTCATCTCTGGGGTCCCCGTGGAAGGACAGAAGTGACTTCCTCAGGTTGCCCTCTGGATCTCTACTCTCATGTGCTGGCACGTGCACACCCTTGCATACACTTTTTTTTTTTAAAGTAAAGGAATCTCACCACATGGGGTGTGAGGGTCCTGCACACACTTGTGTCTAAATTGGCACTTTAGATTGCTAGGAATAAACTTTATGATTATTTACAAATGTGCAGCTACCTTTACGTTCCTGAGGAGACTTGCCTCTAGGTGACAAAGGCCTCCCTGTCCAGCAACCCCTTGGACATTTTCTTCCCTCTCTCCCAACTTCAGCTCCATCTCTCCCATTTTCTCAAGCTATGTAGCTGTAAGGGCAACACCTAGTGTCTCTGCATCTGTTCCTCCTCTTAAAAATCAGAGTGTTACACTAGATTAGCTTTTCCTGGGAGTGACGATTGCATGCCACCCACCTGCTGCCTTCCATTTGAATGAATACATGTGGGCAGGACGGGAACACTGTCTTCTAAGTGGGCACCATTTAAGTTGCATGATGAAGGGGCTGAAGAGATGGCTCAGTGGTTTGGAGTATTTGTGGCTCTTATAGAAGACCTGCATTCGATTCCCAGCACCCATATGGTGGCTCTTAAAATGCATAACGAAATGGAGTGTGCTGGCCCATGCCTGCAATTCCAGCACCCGGGAGGCCAAGGCAGGAGAATCAGCAGTTCAAGGTCAGCCTTGATTGTATAGTGAGTTAAAGTAGAGCCTGGCATAGAGAAAGCCAGCTCAAAACCAAACTAGTTAGCTATCTAACTAACTTGGTAGTTCTGCACAGGGTCTGACTGGAGATCTACCCTCCCAAATAGTCGGGGCCAGAGTTTAAATGGTTATGAAACCATGCAAGGTTATGTTTACGGATTAACTCAGATAGAATTTATGACACCAAGTGTGTAGGATGCCATGCCTGGCTCTAGCCTCTGCAGTAGGACCAAGCCTGGGCCCAGGAGCTGAATGCTGGCTCCCTCATGACCTCTTCAGGTGCATTCCAAGGTTAGGTGGATAGGGATCATGTCCTGCTTCTAGAACCTGCAGAGACTGCCCGTCCAATGAGCTCCCCAAGTGTCTCTCAGCCAAGTGTCACCCAAGCTGCGTGCTGGGTGTGAGGAGGGGAACACATCTACCAAGTGTTGCTTGCTCAGTGCCATGCCCACAAGATGGTCCTGGCTCTGAGGGGGCTGGGGTGGGCAATGACTTCTATTCTGCTTACTTGGAAGTGTCTCATCTAAGAGACCATGGGGGTGGTTGTCCACACCTGTTTTTTTTTTTTTTTTTTTTTTTGGTTTTTCAAGACGGTTTCTCTGTGTAGCTTTGCGCCTTTCCTGGAACTCGCTTTGGAGACCAGGCTGGCCTCGAACTCACAGAGATCCGCCTGGCTCTGCCTCCCGAGTGCTGGGATTAAAGGCGTGCGCCACCACCGCCCGGCTCCACACCTGTTTTTATCCTGCCCACCCTGAGGGTCCTGCCTCACTTCCAGCAGCCTCACAAGGACCCTCTGTATCTGGGTTCTCTGTATCTTTAGGGGTTCTCTCGATGTTATGGAATCCAGCTCTTCCTCCACTGTAGCCTTGGGTGATTTCTCCAGGGTAAATATTCCTACATGGCCGATCTCAATGACTGCTGTCGGGATTTTAACAGTTCCCATCACAGGCCAGCTCCGGCATGTAGCAGCCCAAGAGATTCTCTTTGGACTTTTATCAAGAGCAGATTTTGTCCCCACAGGCTAAACAGAGACAGCCCTATTCCCATGTGCCTTGGACTCTAGCCATTTTGCAGTTGGACCCAGTTGATGGATGTCCAGTAAAGTTGTCAGATTTAGCAAAGGAAAATGCATATGCTTGGATAAATTAGAATTGCAGATAGGTAATTATTTTAGCATAAGTATGTCCCAAATACTTCATGGGCTACGCTTAAGCAAAAACAGCTATTTGCTGTTTGTGATTCTACTTTACCTGGGTAGGTTGAGAGGAAGCCGTGGGTGTGTGCAGCTGGACTAGGAGCTAGAGATGTGATCTCCCTGCCCACTGTTCATACCTGTAAGAGTCGCATAGCCGAGGCTGGAGAGCTGGCTTAGGAGTTAGAGCACTGGCTGCTCTTGCAGAGGACCTAGGTTCAATTCCCAGCACCCACATGACAGCTCAGCTGTCTGTAACTCCAGTTCCGGAGATCCAGTGCCCTCCTCTGGTCTCCATGGGCACCAAGCACACTCATACATGCAGGTGAGACACTCATACACATCATCATAATTAGTCACACGTCACACTATGATTCCTGCTGCAGCTGTCCCTAGTGACAGGGACCCTGGGCTCTCACTAGGATCCCAGCACCTTGAGGCCCAGTGAGGTTAAAGTTACTCAAGATCAGGTAGCTGACCAGCGCAGAGGACAGACTTCCAGTTCATGACCCTGGGGAAGGGTTTTTCTTTTATCCCATACAGTCTCGTCTGAGAGGCAGTTGGTGTCCGTGGTTAGGAGACTCTCATCAGACTGTTCAGGTTCAAATCCTGACTCTGACTTCTGCTGGTTGGGCAGCACTAGGTCGTGTTTCTTTTGACCCTATCTTCTCAGTTTCCCAATGAAGAGTCAGTTTGCGAGCCATTGTGAAGAGTCAGTGTGCTGTTGGGTACAGTGGGCAAACTACAGGCCAGGAAACTGACGTTCCCCGGGAAACTGACGTTCCCCAGGAAACTGATGTCCCCCGCTGTGGTCCTTCCTTCCTACACCTGCGGGGTCATGCTTCTGACTCTTGGCCTGGAAGGCTGTGACCTCTGTTTGTTCTTCCTCTGCCTCTCTCTCCCTCTCTCCCTCCTCTCTCTCTCTCTCTCTCTCTCTCTCTCTCTCTCTCTCTCTCTCTCACACACACACACACACACACACACACACACACACACACACACATTCAGCCCCAAGATCCTGCTAACGTATGCCTCGATTCTTTATAACGAACTTCAATCACTCTGTGCCCACTCTCCAGATTGGAAAGTTCTGAAAGGCACTGATGGTACCTCAAGCTCTCCACCTAGATAAGGTAGCAGGGACAATCCAGGTAGGTTGTATCTATGACTGAGTGGAGCTAGCCAACTCTGGAATCTGGGTCCAAGGACTCAAGCCTGGGGTTCACTGCTTGCTGGCTGTGGCCCCACATGTCCAGCTTCCATTTCCTTGGGTGGCTTTGGTGACGCACTCACCATGTGCTCAGCATTTGGACTGTGGACAAATTCATCTGCATGTGCCTCATTTGTGAAATGGGGACAGTAATCCCTTCCTCACTGGGTGATGGCGAAAATGAGATTAGCTTTAAGAGGCTCCCAGCACCAGGCAGGACCCGGGAAGCTGTCCCAACAGTGAAGCGTCTCCTTATTTCATGCCACTTGCTCCTCCAGCTTTTATCAACACTGGTGTCCCCTTAGTAACTAGCACCAGAAATGAGCTAGAAGCTTCTGGAAGCTCAGGTAGCTTGCAGCAGCAGAGCTAACTCTGAACACGGTTTCTGCTGACTGCTCCCCGGCACCCCAGTCTCAAGTTGCCCTCGGGCCCCATGGGCTCACCTTATTTTGTCTCCAAGTTCAGGATGGCCTCATTTGGAATGAAGGTTGTTTTTGTTTCATTTTGCTTTATAAACAGAAACACTCCCCAATTTCCCTTCTCAGAGGCCTCAGAAGGAAGCTGAGTCAGGTGGGTGTGGTTACCATAAAATCAGTCACCCTCCCTTCTTTACCTCGGGCTCGGCTGACCCAGTCCACGGAGGCTGACATGCACACCGGTACATTTCCCATGTCCTAATGACACGAAAAACAAAACCTCCCCAAAGCAGTGTTCCTTTAGAACTCAGGCTGGGGCCTTAGTGGAAAGAGCAGGGGCTTTGGGAGACCCGACCTGGATTAGAATTCCTGCCCCTCCCTTGGTAACTGAGATGGCGATTGGGCAAGTCAGAGAAATGATGGAGTGAAGCTGTCACCCCTGAAAATGGTGGAGCCTGCCCTGTAGGATTAGAGGAAGGCTTAGTGTTAATGGATGGGAAGCTGGCGGAAAAGCGGGTTGAAGTTACCATGCCCAATGACGCTGCATTCTTGTCCTTTTCAGGACGACATCCCAGGCCCTGGGTTCTACAACGTCATCCACCAGTCTCCAGTGTTCAACAATGTCTCTCTTTCCAAGAGAGGAACCTGCACTTTTCCCTCCACGGTGAGAGCCCTTGGGTGTTACCCACTCAGTCAGTCCCTCTGTTCACTGCATAATGACACGGTGGACAGCTGGTCCTTTCTCTCCAAAGGTCCCTGTTCTGATTAAGACAGCAACCACTTCCTGTGAATTAGCAAAGACGAATCCGAGCCCGTGTCTTTAGGCCATTTGTCTCCATGGATGAATGTGGATGAGGTGGGGGAAGAGCCAGGGCTTGGTTGCCTTCCTGAGGCTTTTAGCTATGCCAGGGAAACTGCTGTGTCTGGGCCCCAAGTGATTTTTTATTTTGTTTTGTTTTGTTTTTCAAGACAGGATTTCTCTGTAGTTTTTGGAGCCTGTCCTGGATCTCACTCTGCAGACCAGGCTGGCCTCGAACTCACAGAGATCCGCCTGGTTCTGCCTCCCGAGTGCTGGGATTAAAGGCGTGCACCACCACCGCCCGGCCCCAAAATGATTTTTAACATTTGCTTCATATAACTGGGTTGTTCAAATCATTGGGAAGTTGGATGGACCAAAAAAGAAACTAGGGTTGCTGTTTGAGGGCATGCAGCATGCAGGGTTAGAGGTGCTTCTGCCAAAGCTGATGGCCTGAGATGGATTGCTGGGACCCACGTGGGAGAAGAGAGCTGACCTCTGATCTCCACGCTCGCATCCTGGCATGTGCATCTCCCCCATACTAGAGAGAGAGAGAGAGAGAGAGAGAGAGAGAGAGAGAGAGAGAGAGAGAGAGAGCGCACTGGGCCTGAAATACAGGAATCTTTGTGTCACCACATGTGACTTTATCTTTGCTGAGAATTCGTGCAGTCAAACACACAAATGAAGCTCCAGTGAGCTGAGCAGATGTGGGTGAAGACAGCGTTCTTCTGTTTTTGTGTTGGTGTGTGTGTGCTGAGGATGGCACCCAAGGCTGTCACCACTGAGCTATGGCCTCAGCCTTAAGGGACTCAAGCAAGGGAGTGAGCCAAACAGAGCAATGTTGCCTGAGGTGAGACAGCAGGGGGGAGCAGAGCCAGAATCTGCCATCAGTAGAACACATGTGCCTGCTTGTCCCTGTAAAGGTTATGATAGCCTCTTGCATAGACACAGCCGATGTCTGACATGGGGCCTAACTTTCTATTGCCCTCACACAGTGGCACCATTTAGGGCCCACCGAATGTAGCCACCTCTTGTTGGGAGTCAGGCTGGCAGGGTGGAATATTCAGGAACAAACTGACTTAGGAGTGAAGGTTCACAGTCTCCGAGTCCTCAGCAAAGTCACGGGATAGACAGGAGGAAGACCCCAAAACAACCGTCAGAGAAATGCCTCGTCACAGGCACATGCCGCAGCACTGGCCCTGGCACCAGAGACCTCATCCTGACTCAGCTGTGGAGCCTGGATGTGACCTCAAGCACGTCACCCCTCTGTGTCCCAGTTCCTCAGAGACTCCCTGGAGGCTCTGGGCGAACTGCAGTGAGCAAGACTTTGAAAGTGCAGAACAGTGTAAACAGGCCAGGATCTCGCGCTGTCGCCGACGCCCGAGTCACCCTTCAGACTGCCCAGAGCGCCTAGGTTCTCTCCGGGGACTCCTTTGCCAGACAGTGCACTACCATTCCTTCTTGGTGCCAGGAAGGGGCTGGATTGGAGACGCGGTGAGGACCCTGCTAGTCTTCTCCGGCGGTGACTTTCAAATGGTTCGGCTGTCCATCCAGAGGAGAAGGCCTGAACTATAGAGTCCAACCAGGCCTTTTACTTCTTTAAAAAAAAAAAAAGCCCCAGAAGAAGGAGATGTGGGTCTGCCCGACCCTTGGTGCGAGACTTCAGCTTTATATTTGTTGTTTTAAAGAAAAGGTTTGTTTTAAATTGTCTAGGGATGAGTGCAGATACCTGCACTGGCCAGCAGAGGGTGCCAGGTCCCCAGGAACTGGAGTTATAGGCTGGTCTAAGTTGCTTGATGTAGGTGCTAAGAATCAAATCCAGGTCCTCTGCTGAAATGCTAGAATGTCTGAGCCATCTCTCCAGCCCCAGCTTTATATTTTTAAATACTTGCATTTCTTTGTTCTTGGGAAGGGGGCCTTAAGTGGTTTGTAATACCTGGACTGTAGGTCCCACACAGTCTCTAGTTTCTGTCCAAACTAGATGAGGGACAGAGGCCTTTTCCCCACTTCTGTGTTCCAAGACTCGAGGAAATTCAAGTCTCCCACCTCAGAGGAAGATCGCAAGGGCCCAGAGGAGTGTGACGGGGGTGAGGCTGCCAAAAATGTCCGTGCCTATAAATTCTACCACTTCCTGATGGCTGCCAGGGCGACACCCATTAAGGCACTCCAAGTTTTGTTCTAGAGTCTTCTACAACTCTGACCAAGAAGCTAAATGAGACGGCAGGGGGGAGGGGATGGAGGGGGGGGATGGAGGGCGGGGGAGACGACGGGAGGGGGATGATGGGGACACTTTGGTGGTCTTTCTGGGTCGCACAGTGCCAGGGTGGTTCTGGGGAAGTCAGTATGTGTCAGGGGGAAGTTGCCAAGGGCCAGTGTGGGGCCTGACTGGAGACCACAGGCCTGGCAGGTAAGTGCAGGGTGCACAGCTGGAGACTGAGTGCTGCAGACACTAATCCTATTATGACGCCTCAGGGAACTTGGCACTATGGGATGTTTTTTTAGAACGTCCCCCCCCCCCGCCCCCCCAACATAAAAGCAATGTCTCTGAAGGCAAAAAAGATTTGCTGCTCCTCCAGGGCCGTGCCTCCTGACCCACTTCTCTTTGGAGTGCACTTCCGATCCGGGTCGTCGGGTGGAGGCAGCCGGCCTTGCTGAAGATGGTGGTCCCACAGCGTTTTATTAGCAGGGTGGAGTTTTTTCTTCTGTGACATTGTCATGATGTCAGCTGCGTAAAGTTGTACAAACCGAAGGCCACAACAAATGGGAAACAAGTGGCCGGAAGTGAAGGCTGCTGCCAGGGGCGTAGTCATTGCTGTGGGGAACACTGAAGCGCCTTACAGCTAGAGCTGGGATTTGAACCCGAGTTAGAATCCAGATGAGGGCGCCCCTGCTTCTGGTGAAACCCACACCTCCATGCCACCGTTGAGAGTCATGCCCACCCAGCCCTCGAGGAGCGGGTAGAGGGAAGTAAAGGTCGCTCCCGGCTTCCCCCACTTCCTGGGTGCCTGGGTGGTGCTGACCCCTGTTGAGAAAACCCAGGGTAGTGTTCCCAAGCTTTTCACCGTTAAATTACGGGAAGCTTTTGTTTTATCAGATTCTAATACTAGCCAGGTTGTCATAGGGTAAGGAGATGTTATCATTGAGTTTCTGTGACTTTTGCCCCCATTCATGTGGCAAACACTGATTGTGTTTGTTTTTGAACTGAAAATAGTTTATCATGGTCTCTGGAAGGGACTGGAATCCGTTCTGTTGAAACATAAGTGTTATAGAGTTTTTATGAATGCGGTGATTTGTTGTTGTTCTTGGTGTTTTTTGTTTCGTTTTGTTTTGTTTTTTGAGACAGTGTCTCACTGTGCAGCCCAGGCTAGCTTCAAACTCACTGTCTTCCCGTCTCTGCCTCCCAAATTCTGGACCACAGGTGTGTGCCACTGCACCCGGCATGAAACCAGTGATTTGGTAGGAATGGGAGGCCTGAACAGCTATCCCTGCATAGCCCTGCCCCTTTAAGCTAGCTGCAGCAGCTCCCTGCAGATACCACTGGGGCCAGTCTAACCTCTCCTATCACAGGACTCACCCCGCAGCTGATGAGGCAGGTGGAAGGGACCAGGAGCAGGGTGCAGTGAGAATGCATTGCTGGGAAAAATCACTCTCCAGGTCCCAAACAGATGACGAATACTTTAAATTAGTTTACAGAAGTTGGAATGGGTCTGAACTTGCATTTCCCAAGAGCGAGCCCTCAAAGCCCGAGGTCCAATTACCACTGTTGCTTGCTACAGTCTTGCCTCTTAGGGGGAAAAAATGCTTGTAAGCTGGGCATGGTGGCCAGTGCCCCGCATGCCAGTGCTGGGGAGGCCGAAGCAGGAGGAACATTGCAAGTCCGAAGCCAGCCTGAGCCATACAGTGAGCTTCAGGCCAGCTTGGGCTACACAGAGAGACCCTGTCTCAACAAATAAACAACCAGGCAAGCAAGCAAGCAAGCGTTCAGACAGCCATGGACTTGGGGCAGGGTCTTTTCTTTTGACCTGACCTCACAGCCCCGGGGTCACGTGATGATGCTGATTCTTTTCCTTCTTCCTCAGTGTGCCCGGCTGGGCAACATCATTTCTAAATATCCTGCTGCCAATGCCTACACCATCCCCTCAGAGTTGGTTTCCAAGAAGGACTTCAGCAATTCCTGTTCCAGCATGTTCCAGCTGCCAAGCTTCATGAAAGTGGTCAAATCAGAAACCCCTGCCCCAAACCAGTACCATGTAAGGACACCGCCTGCCTTTGTCCAGGGCTGTGTTGAAAGGGTGTGTTGCCAGTCAGTGATCAGGGAAGAGCATTTTAACCCAGAGGGTCAGCCAGTGAGCATGTGAGCAAGCTGGGGGAGGAGAGGGGTGACTGAGGCGAAGGCAAGAATCTGAAGGTTGGGCAACAGTAGAGGGCGGCAGGGAGCTGCAGGGATGAAGCCCACTTCATCCCTCGCCTGTCTCACAGACCCCGTCAGGGTTTTTCTCCTCTGTCATAACAGATGCACACTTACCATCTCAGCTGCTGACACGATTCATGTACTTTTTAGAATTTGATAAGGAAAACCCGGTTTCTTTCTATATCTGAAAATTGTCAGTGGTTTTTTTTTTTTTTTTGGTTTGTTTGTTTGTTTTGTTTTGTTTTGTTTTGTTTTGTTTTTTTGGGACAGGATCTCACTATATAACTCTGGCTGTCCTGGAACTTGCTATGTAGTCAAGGCTAGGCCTGAACTAACAGAGATCCACCTGTCTCTGCCCCCTTAGTGCTGGGATTAAAGGTGTCTGGAATCATTTGTGTGTGTGTGTGTGTGTGTGTGTGTGTGTGTGTGTGTGTGTGTGTGTGTGTGTGTATTAGCGGTAGTGCTCTGAGCAGAAAGGAATGGGTGGGAAAGGGTGCCTGTAGGAAGCTGTAGTTGGACTTTCTTTGGATTACCAGCTCCCAAATAGTGACATGGAGACTTCTTACTAAGTATGAAAGCTTGATCTTAGCGTAGGCTTGCTCCCAACCAGCTCTTATAACTTAAATTAACCTGTTTCTATTAATCTGCATTCTGTCACATAGTTCTCGTCACTTCTGCCCAGTACTGTGCCCCACTTCCTCCGTGTCTGGCTGGTGACCACCACCTCTTTCCAGAGTTCCTATCTCCGGAAGTCCCACCTATCCTCTCCTGCTTAGCTATTGGACATTTAGCTCTTTATTAAACCAATCAGAAGGTGCCTAGGCAGGTGAGGTTAAACAGACATCTTCATAGTGTACAGAAAGATTATCCCATGACAGGAAGCTTTAGCTCAGATCTCCACTCTGCCACGGTCTGTGCCTGGCCCATGCTCTGCCAGCCTTCCCCACCACTGCCACGGTCTGTGCCTGGCCCATGCTCCGCCAGCCTTTTCAGGGCTTGGGATGTTGATCTGTATCGTGGGGGGAGATGTGTTCATCTTCCAGGCTTGGTGAAGACACTCATGGGGAGAATCTAGGTTGAGGAATGAGTGCAGCACCCGGCTCATGGTCTGCAGTGATCCAGGGAAGGGGGTGGGCCGTCTTTGGTTAGTCATGGGCTCTGTGGAGCCACCACTATAAAATGGGAGCGGTGACATCTGCTTTAAGGGTGATGAAAAAGCCAGGGAGAGCATAAACCCACGTGAGCACCCTGAAATCCAGGATGTGACCCCCAATCCCACACAGAAGGTGTGAGCCACAAAGGGCTGCATTTCGAAGGACATTGGTCTCAGATACCTCATTCTCAAGTTCCTCTTTTGAAACACGATTTAAAAGTCATATTTATTTGTCTACAGAGCTCCTGCCCACACTCTAAGACTGGGCCAGTTGACTGTAAAGTGCTCAGAGCAGGGATGGTGCCTGCAGGGTCAGCACTGGGCAGTAGTAACTTAGTGAGGACAGCTGTATCAGTAGAGATTTTTAGTAGCAGCATATAGAACTAAAAAGGAATGGGTGAAATTAATTTTTGTAACATATCTTGTAATTATATATATATTAACTTTTGCAATATATTTTTAATATATCCCAGTAGATCCAAAGTGTCATTGTTTTGATATCAATCACATATTGACATAAGATTATTTAATGAGATATTTCAGGAGGACCCTTGTCTCATTGGAAGTCTTTGCAGTTTGATGTGTATTTGCTATTTACACCTGTCTTAATTTTGGATCAGTCATGCTTCCAGGGCTGATTGTGGCTACTGTATTGGCCGTGCTGTTCTAGAATGTTTCCCTGGAATAACTGGACCCTGATGATGATGATGATGATGTGTTGATCATAGCAGAGGTGTGCTTCGCACAGGCTGAATCAGCTGGTCTATGAATTATGTGGTCCTTGCACTAATTCCTAGTAGAGTGTACCAGACATTTTATTGTATTTCATGGATTACCTGATTCCAGTTCACAGTAGAGGATGCTAAGATGTGTGTGTGTGTGTGTGTGTGTGTGTGTGTGTGTGTGTGTGTGTGTGTGCGCGTGCATGCACCTATGTGTGTGCACCTGTGTGTACGTGTTAAGGCATCAAGTGTCTTTCTTTATTGCTGTCTACCTTTTCTATTATTTATTTATCTATCTCTATCTTATCTATCTATCTACCTATCTATCCATCTATCTATTTATTTTGAGAAAAGGTTCTCCCCTACTGGCTGGCCAGTGAGCCTCAGGGACCCTCCTGTCTCTGCCTCCCCAGATGTGTGCCACTGTTCCTGACTTTTTATGCTGAGTGCTAGAGGTGTGAACCTGGGTTTGTATGTTTATTCAGCAATCCTTTTAATGGCTAAGCCATTCGCCCAACCACATAGAGTGCGTGGATTTTGTTCATGACTGTTTCAATGTGACTGAACATAACATATGTATATTTTGAATAATATGCAGTTAAGCCCTGGAGAAATCCAGCATACAGAGTAGAATTTCTATGTAATTCTACTTCCCTTTTTTAAAGTTTATTTTTAAAATTATGTGTATATGTGTGTAGGGTGTATGTGTACCTTAGTGCAGGTGCCCTCAGAGGCCAGAGGCATTGATCCCTTGGAGCTGGAGTTATAGGCAGTAAGTAATGAGCTGCTTGGTGTGGGTGCTGGGTACCGAATTCTGGTTCTCTGCAAGAGCAGTATGTGCTCTTAACTGCTGAAGTATCTTTCCCGCCCCGTGCCAATTCCCACATAATGTGGGTTCCCAGGGCAAATGCCTCCAAGAGCCAGGTGCAGTTCCTTCAGGGTCTTCACATTCACACACACTCCTCAGTCTGTTTTGGAGTCACCCTGCATGGGTCCAGGTGTATTTCCCACTTAGCTACACCCAGAGTTCCTCTCCACGGAGCTTCAGTAACTCAGCTTTGTTCTGTTGTTACCTGCTGAGTATTTTCTTAGGCTAATGACGAAATCTTCCTGTGGACTCACAGGCATACAAAAATGCCCTGTTTTCCACAGGTTTTCTGTCTGGGTAAGAACAAAGCCAGGGAACTGTTTTGTCTGCAGGAGGCTTTTCCCCAACTAGGAGAACAATGGTGGCGGCATCAGGCAAGGAGCCCAAAGGCCATAATCCCGTTAGCCATGCTGTGCACTGAGCAACTTGCCCGGCCTTGGTCCGGCTTCTCCTTTGGAGTCCTTTGCTGCGGGGGTTGTTATTATCTTCCCTCTGGGCCTGGTCCTCCCTGTCCAGTAATTAGCCTGCCCATCTGGCCTTTGTGTAGGAGCTCTCTGCACGGAACCTGCCATCAGGACCCTGGGAAAAGCTACATTCCTCCACCTCTGTGAGCACAAAATCAAAATGCCACCTGCATTTCTCAAGAAACTTTTTTTTTTTTTCAAACAAAGAAGTATCAGGGAGAATCAAGCCATCCCAGCCCCCAGCGAATAGTTTCACTCATTCAGCAAATATTCCCAGTACTCTTGGCCACAATTTTATTGCTCCTGTTATCTACAACTACAGGAGACTGACTGCAAATAGGCACTTCAAATATTTGTGATTCGTGCATAACAGAAGAGTGATCTCAGGCCCCCTGAGGCCCAACCCACCCCCATCATTTTTAGAGTTCTGAACACATGGGACGCTCTCACATGTCTAGTGTGTGGATCAGCCAAAATTCTTAACTTCTGGTCTGTCCAGAAAAGCCGAGAGTAGAGAGTGATTGCAGACTTGATCATAATCTTGAGCGATAGGACTCGGTGCACCCCACATGCCCTGTTTAGAGAGCACTGTTTGCACAGAGAAGAATGCAGCCAGGGACCAGGTTGGGAGGCATGGGGACTTGTTCTGGAAAGGATGAAAACAACAGCAAAAGAAATACAAGCCAACTGGGACAGCACCGCACCGCACACTCGGTAAAAATACCTCCCGAAGGGCAGTGGGTGCAGCCGGCCCGTGGCGCACAAGACCCTAGCTAGGACTGAGAAGAAACCAAGGAACAAATCCCCCAACTTTCTCTAGATGGTGTGTGATCCCCCCACCACCCACAACGATGCTCTGAAACAAGCAGAGTGGGGGGGTCATCAGATGCATTTTTTTTTTTTTTTTTTTTTTTTTTTTTTTTTTTTTTTTGGTTTTTCGAGACAGGGTTTCTCTGTGTAGCTTTGCGCCTTTCCTGGAACTCACTTGGTAGCCCAGGCTGGCCTCGAACTCACAGAGATCCGCCTGGCTCTGCCTCCCGAGTGCTGGGATTAAAGGCGTGCGCCACCACCGCCCGGCCAGATGCATTTTACAGAGAGAGGGAGAGAACTCAGGCTCAGGGAGATTAAACCACCTGAGCAGGGCAGCATATCCGTAGGCAGGCGGAAGAGGGGCCAGAGACCAGGCTCTTCAGGTTTCTCTCCAGCCATTCTCTTCTGGCTTCACCTTGGTGTGCGTACATGCATGTATTCATGCACGTGTGAGTGTGTAAGTGCGTGCGCGCTTGTCACAGACCACTTGAGCTAAGTAGATGGTGAAGTCACAGCCATAGTCACCTTTTCAACTCACGTCAATTCTCCTTCTAAAAAGGACACGTTTAAATTTGGCTCGTATTTGCCGCCTGTCCAGGCAGAGTGACAAAGACAGAGAGGGGCAGGCACCGAACACAGAGTGTGTTTTCTCTCACACAGGCGGCCAGCGCCAGCTGCAAACAGAGAAGCAATCTCTCTGCTCGAGTTGGGTTTCTGTCAAAAACAGAAAGAGGAGTCTTCCCCTTGGCCTGCTCGGCAGGGCCAGCTCCAGGTAAGCAGCGGCTTGGCTCTGGTTCTCTGGGCACCATCTCCCTACAGGGAACCTGTTTGGAAGAAGCTTGGTGTGTGTGTGTGTGTGTGTGTGTGTGTGTGTGTGTGTGTGTGTGTGTGTGTAGAGAAAGTGCGGAACAGAGAGATGATAAGGGACCCAGTAGCTCTGCACATGTCCCCTAAGCAGCCTTCTTGACATGGCTTTTTGGGGTCAGACACACCAGCTCTGGGCAGCCAGGTGGGGAAGTGGCCTCAGCCACTTCCCTCTGACAGGGAGGGAGAGAGGAGGTGACACTGCCTCAGAGGTCACTTCACGGTCTCTTCCTAAATAGTGCAGCAGGTGGGTTCTGGCTGCATTTCCCAGTGTTTAGTCCGCAGGGAGTGTTCTGCCTGCCTGTGCCTATGGTCCTGTAGTTCACGCACGGAGGAAAGATGCTCAGAGTTACAAAACTTGTCCAGTGTCACTGGCCACTAAATAGCATCTCTAAACCCAAAGATGCCTAACTAGACCCCTGCTCCCCTTCGGATCCTCAGAGCCTTCTGGAACCAGGATCCAGGAACACATCAGAGCTTGCCTGAATTAGTCTCTGCTGTATTCCAAAAGGTGGCAACACCTCTGTGCTCCCACACTTCCCTCCCTGGAGGACATCCTAGTGGATCAGTTCAGAGGGGTCCAGAAGAGTCCACATAGCCTGACCCCCAGCCTTACCCAGCCAAGCCTGGAGCTTTGGGCCCCAGAACCCAGAGGAAGGGCAGGGAGGCATAGGGTGTGGAGAAAATTGCAGGGCACGTCAGATTTCAGCAAATCCAGATTAAAGCCAGAAGATCAGGCTGAAGCTGAGTAACAAAACCATCACTAATTAGGAGGCTCAGCGCAGCCACAATGCACCCCCTCCCCTCCCCCGCACCAGCCCCACAAAGCCCCACCTTGTTTGTTTATACAGCAGAACAAAGCTGGCACCCTTGGGCTTTAGCCAGAGCCCTAAGATGGGGCCTCACATTCAACACAGAGGCTCCCCAGGGTCCCCGAAACAAAGAACAGAATGGGGGCCAAATTGCTCCTCCCGTACAGGGTGAGTGTCCCCCTGTTTCTGTGGGGGCATCTAGCTGCTCCCTGATGCCTTTCTTGGAGATGACTGACGTCCTATAGCATCGCCCTGTGTCCTCCTCATCACTTTTCCAGTAGAAAAGTGAATTCTGCTTAAAACAAAGTCACCCTCTCAGAAGACAGGAAGCAGGAAGAGTGCTTGAGTTTGGGGCCAGCCAGAGCTAAAGAGTGAGACTCCCTCTCTAAAACAAAAACTCATAAAGAACGAAGTCAAATTTACAGTGCCTTGAGAATTTGAACTATCAACCCTACAGGGCCACCACTACTAAGGTTTTCCCCAGTTTTCTGGATCCCACCAATTCTACTAAATTTATTTTCCTGGCATGACTCCTCTTGACCCCCCCACCCCCACCCCCACCCCCATCCCAGCCCTGATTCAGTCATGGTCACTTGTGCATAAATGTCATGACAGTAAGTATAGATGTTCAAGTTTTGGGTTACTTTTCCATTCATGTACATCTTTAAAAATATATAAGTATGTGGCACCTGTAATCCCGATATTTGGGAGGCTGAGGCAGGAGAATTGTTATAATAGGAGATTCTGTTTTTTTAAAGGGGGTGGGGCTGGGAGACAGCTCCACTGGCAAATGATTGCTGGGGGCACATTGATTTCTCCCACAGAGTGAGAAAGCCAGGGGGAGTGGGCGGTTCCTGTAATCCAGAGCTGGGGAGGCAGAGACAGGGGGATCCAGGGGGCTTGCTGGCCGGTCGGTCTAGCCAAATCCCAGGACTCCAGGTTCAGTGAGAGACCCTGACTCAAAAATATAAGGAGGGCTGGCAGGATGGGCTAACAGGCAAAGGACCAAACGGTGGAGAAGCAACTCCCTCAAGCTGTCCTCTGACCTCCATGTGTATGTTGTGGCGTATCTGTAAACGCACACATATGTGCCATGAATAAATAAATGAGAAGACTTGTAAAAGGCAGAGAGCCGTTGAAGACGACACTTGGAATTGAACTCTGGCCCCCGTATGCACCAGCACCTAGAATTGCACACATATCCACACAGATGCAGACACACATGCAAATAAGGAAAAAGTACAAACAAAAACAACAAAACACCCCAGGCCGTGCACAGGTGGCCTTCTGGCATTCGAGAGTGTCACGTGGAACTTGCCTTCCACATACTTTCCTGGACGCTGAGGCTACACCCAGTGTTCACGCCGAGGGGCCTGCTGTGTGTCCAGCTTCGTGCCTGGAGCTTTTCCGTTCCATTGACCAGTGCCCCTAACTTCTGAGTGATGGGAAGCTTGGACCAATGTGAGCAGGTGTCTGTGAGGGCCTTTGCCAGCACTACACCTCACGTCTCCCAAACACCTGTATCCACTCCCCGAGCTGTGAGAATTTAGGGGTGAGGCTGTTCCCTGCTCTCCTTCCAGCTCAGGCTGTTCTCTCCTCTTTTAAGCTTTGTGCGTAAGTGAAGTGGATTTGATTATGGTTTCTTCAGACAGAGCATGGGGTACAGGCTTTAAGCACAGCAGATTCTCAGTAAGGGCCTCTTGTGCAGGACTGGAGAGATGGCTCAGTGGTTAAGAGATCTTGCTGCTCTTCCAGAGGACCCAACTTCAGTTCCCAGCATCCACTTGAGGTGGCCCACACCGTCTGGAATTCCAACTCCAGGGGATCTGACCCCTCTAGGAACACATATCCCTCAACATGCCCACATGCAAACAAAGACACCTAAAAATAATAAAATTTAAAAAAAAATTGGAACCTATTGCTTAGGGGCTGGGGAGGTGGTTCCTTGGGTAGGGGTACTTGCTGTATAGGCATGAGGATCCAAGTTCAAGTCCCCATTACCTATGTAAAAAGCTGGGTGTGATCACACATGCTCCCATAACTCCAGTGTTGTGGAGGGCAGAGGCAGAGGAATTGTTGGGGTTTGTTGGGCACCGGCCTGGTCAGCGAGCGATCTCTGGAATAAGGCAAAAAGTGACAGGACATGGCAGAGCATCCCCTGGTCTTTGTGTGCACACAGGCATGCATGCCTGCCCATCCATGAATGTATAATACACACACACACACACACACACACACACACACACACACACACTCACACGCACACACACACTCGCACACATCTTTTGCTTATTTGACATTTACAAACTGTTAAGCTAGCACTCAGCTGTTGAAACCACCCCGTGCCCAGAAACCTGAGTGTTTACAGAGGGGAAAGTTGTGCCAGCCCAGGGCTGCCCCAGGGTTTGGGGTGTGCTTTAGGTGACTGATTGGATGGATGTCCTCTGGCTAGCTAATTCCTATCTCTGGGCTGCAGGGCCCTGGGTATAGGTAGGAAGGGTGAGCCCCACATGGCCAGGTTGCTGTGAGGCCCACGGGTTGAAGTGTGTGATCCGAGTGGAAGGTTGGCCTTCAGCCCACACAGGCAACCTTCCCGTTGGACCCACTCGGACCCACTGAAGTGACATTGACTGTGCCGGCTGTGAGAGCTGGTGGCAGGTGCTGCTTTCCACCGATCTGGGAAGAATGTCTCACCCTATGTCAATGTTCTCTCTGTTCAGGGCATTACAACGTCAATGAATCTTTGGTAAAGCAGTCGCCAAAGATCTTAGTGTCCTGCTTCAAATCCAAAACTAGCCGTGGGTTAAAACTGACATCAACAGGCCCAGGGCCTGGCTACTACAACCCCAATGAACACACCAAGATTCTGAAAAAGCCTCATATCCCGTGAGTCCTGCATTTTTCTTCTGAGGTAGCTCCAGGGGATGCTCAAAGGAGCAAAATGAGAATGGGCACCATTTAAGCAGGACCCAGTCCAGGGGCCCCTGCCACTGTGTTATAATGCTCAATAAGCCATTGGAGAGTATATGACTTTAACTGAGTAGCATCTGTTAGGAACATGTCCCCCCACCACAATGGTAGAATCACCATCTTTGTTTCCTGGAGGAAGGAGCTGTGTTTCAGGAAGGTTGAGGAATTTGCCTGAGTCCGCACAGTTCACATCCTACCAACAGAATTCTGGGCCATCAGGATCTTGCTGTGTTCCCCATGAAGCTGACTGGGGCCACAGTCGCTCTGTTTTTAGAATATGGCGCCTCCCCTGTGCTCGCTTGGGGAGATGCAGAAGCTGGGCACCCTTACCGATGCACTGACAGGGAACGGCTGGATTTGAACTTGGCTCTGCTGAGTGCATGCTGTGTGGCCTTGGGCAGCATGTATTACACTCTGTGAGCTCTCATGCCTTTCTCTGAAAAGCTAAATGGGTTTAATTCACGCCTCGTAGGGTTACTTTCAGAATTAAAATTTGTCAGCCACACAGTAGGTACAAATGGTGACTTAATATTAACACAAATTTAAAAAGAAACAGAGCTAGGTGGGTTGGCTCATGCTTGTAATCCTAGTACTTTGGAAACTGAGGCAGAGGGATTGGGAATTCACGGCCAGCCTGGGCTACATAGCCAGATCCTGCTTCATCAAAGCAGGGTTGGGAGGATTGAGAGCTGTGTTACCATTTAAAATAGATGCCGTTTGAACAGTTTTATTTTTATGTTATGTGTGTGGGTGTTTTGCCTGCATGTATGTCTGTGCACCATGTGTCTGTGGTGCCCATGGAGGCCAGAAGAGGGTGATGGGTCCTCTGGAACTGTAGCTATAGATGGTTGTGAGCTGCCTTGGGGGTACTGGGAACCTAACCCCAGTCCCCTGCAAGAACAAGGGCTCCTTGCCCCTGAACCCCCTCTCCAGCCCTGTTATGCATCATTTCTAATGTTACTTTCATCTAAGAGACTCAAAGGCATTCAGTGCTTAAGAATTCCTCAAGTGGCCGTGGAACTTCTAGAACTAATTGCACATAACGCCGATCTTTGTTCCTGTTGTAATCCCCCTTGCAGGTCCAAGCATGGCAAGGGCGACCACCAGGGTGGGGCCGAGTGTGTGGACACCTGAGCCCCTCCCAGAGGCCAGGCAGGTGTCACGGCCACAGCTGCAGCAGGCTAGACTTCCAGGCAACTGGTCGGGGGCTGGAAACATTGGGCACCATCTGGCTGTCAGCCTGGGGCATGGGGCAGGAATTTAGGACTCTGTCAAGTCAAAGAGGAGCTGGAGAAGGGACTCAGGCTTAGATGGAGGCTACTAATAAGTTCCCTCTGTGGTCCCACTGTGGGATTCTGCAGGATCCTTCCCAGGCCCTGGGGCGGGGGACCAGGGCTACTCCCCTTCTAAAGGTCAGCGACTCCTTCCTTCGGGCTGGCTCTGAGTACCCTCTGCACAGGAACTGTTCCTTGGTCTCCCTGGGAAATGTTGTGGTAAGGGGCAGAGGATTATCCTCCATGGAGCCTTCTTGCCTCACTGCTGAGTGGAGTTGATTTTCTCCGCTGTGACTCCTGCGAGGCTGAATGAAGCAGAACTTGGAAACAGTTCTGACTTTTTCCCAGCTGACGCATAAAAGCCGTGCATATTTATGGAGGCCATGTGATGTTTGGATGCATTACCTAATGTTCAAACTGGGAGACGCGTCTGTCCCCTCAGACATCTGGCTCTTACTCATTACAGCTGAGATTATTCTATAGCCTACTGAAATAGGATACAGCTGCGATTTTGCATGGTGGCTCAAACCCACAGCCCGGATCTGGAAGCTTCGACAAGGAGGGCCTACTCCCGAGCTTTCTGGAATGGTAGCTGTAGGGCAGTGCCACACCGGAGGCTGGCGCTTGTGCCTCCTAAGATGTGGCTGAGGAACGCGTTGTGGGTGTTCTCGGCCTTCAGCTGCCCAGCTGACTCAAAGCTAGGAGGATTTGTTGGCTTGCGAGTGTCAGCCAGGGTTTCACTTCTCGAGTTCCTCAGTACCCGTCCTGGGGGTGACTCAGTGAGGCAGGGCAAGGCACGGTGAGGGCTTTGAGATCAGAATGGGGTCCTCCCGGTGCCACCTGCCGCCAGGTAGAGGAACACCCAGAGAGTCCTCTCGGACCACTTCCTGGAGTCTCTAAGCCAAAGGCTTTGCGTAGCATGCTGTCCTGTCAAGGGGAGCCCGAGAATCAAGCCCCTTGGCCCGGCTCCAATTCAGTAATTACGCTGGGCCAATTATGCTGGGCCCACCTAAAGTTCCTGGGGATTGTCAATTCGCTGTGGGATGCATCTTCCCAGGCAGCTCATCTGTCACTGCCCCTACCCTGAAGAACAGATAGATACTGCATTCCACCCCAGAGGCAATCGGTGGCCCTTTAATGTGGAGAGGAATTGTGAGAAATTGCCCCTTTATCCCTCCCAAACCTGGGAATCCCCCAGGCAGAGAACCTGTGCCTGGGAGTGTCCTAGGGGTCCTAGATGCCTTCTACAAGTGACCTGAGGAGACCTTGAAGACATCCATTATCTCTGAGCCACTGACAAAGGGCTCCCTAGGAAGCTGGATTGTGCATAATCCCCAGCGTGGTTACTGGGGGAGCCTGACAGATGTTTTCATTCATTACTAAGCTACCAAACCCACGCTGGTCACACTACATTGCTGGTCACACACATCCTGGGTGTGACCACTGGACCTCCGTGATTTCCCATTTGCACCATGCCACCAGGAACCAGCCCTGGGTAAGGGGGACTTTGGTGTCTGGAGTCCATCACCTTCTTTGCACACTACTCCCCCACCCCCCCACCCCCACCCCACCCCCCGCAGAATTTGGGACACAGGAAACATGATGATACTGTCTGCCTTCAGCCCCCCCCCCCCATTATTTCTAGGTTGTTCTCTCATTTCTCACCATTCTCTCCCCCATTTCCCCACAGACGCTGTGTGAAGTTAAGAGGGATCTCTGATCACAGCCTTTTGATCACGCTTTCTCTCCCAGAAAGACCCAGAACAGCACGGCTCTCAGCCCTGTGCCTTGCCTGCTGTTCCTTCCTGAAGGAGCACTTCCCTATAAACTCAGCCCCACCCTTGCACATCCACCTATTGGGCCCCTCCCCTGGTGAGTCTTCTACCTGCATGTACACGTGTGTGCATGTGCGCACACACACACACACACACACACACACACACACACACACACACACACACACAGCTTTCTACCTGCCTCACTCTTAGGGGTGGTGATCTTGCCTTACTCAGCTTTGAGGCCGCTAGCCCCATGCTGAACTACAGAGAAAGGGGAGGGGCAAAGAAGTTGATGGAGCCTGGATACCGCAAAAGGGCTGAGGGCTGCTCTCTCCCGCCCGGGTGCCCACTACTGGAGTGCCGTCCCGTCCCTTGCTCTCCCTACCTGAAGGTTCCCTGCTGACCTCTTCCAGGGTGCAGGTTTGGATCCCCTGGTGGGAATTGTCTCTGCTCTCACGTTAGAGGGCTTCGCAGTGTAGCCCAGGCTGCCTGGACACTCTCCATATAGTCCACAGAGCTTCAGATCTGTGGCAATTCTCCTACTTCAGCTACCTGAGTGCTGGGATTACAGACATGTGTCTCTATTTGTGCTCAGGATTTTTAAACTCCCCTTTCTAGCAGACTTCCTGGTAGGCATAGGAGTGAACCTAGTTACTCCTAGCATATGGTCTGGGGTGGTCAGATTTCCTGAGAACACGTAGCCAGTGGGCAGGGAAGGTGACATTCAGCCAAAGCTGCACTCTTCACTGTCACCATTCAGATAGACACTAGCCGTGGACTACCCAGCCCTCAAGATCTTTGTTTTAGTCCAGAACATCCTAGACTCCTAAATGTGCTTGACCAGAGCTGCACACAAAGCTGGTGCTCACTAGAGACCCTGACATTCTGCTGAGGATGTGGGGCATCCCTAGTACTGTGGTAGGATGCAGGAAGGGGCCACTCCAACCAAACGCGCAGGTATGTGACGTGGGCCCAGCCTGCCATCAGCCTTCAGCAGCTACCCCTGCTTGGGCAAGAGACACCTCATGGTTGTCCCTGGAAATAATGTGGGACTCTTGGGCTTGGGAGTGACCCAGACCGATGAATGGCTTCATCTGGTAGTTGGCTCAGTTCACTTGTGACTTTCAGGAGTCAGGTCTGCCTCAAAATGTGGCCAGTCACACACATACATGAAATTCCTCAGGGTCCCTTGGGGAGGGAGTCACAGCCAGAACAGGGGTGAGGTAGCATTTATTTGTAAGGAGAAAGGCTCTTGACCACACTCTGAAGCCAGGTCCTCCATACAGAGTAGAGGGGTACATTCTACCTTCTTCCTGTGGGTACCTTTGTTCTAATATAAATGTCCAAGCCAGCTGGTACAAGGTTTGAGCCTCCAGCAGGGTGAGGTAGGGTTCCATGGCCTCCCCAGCAGGGCAAATCCCCACACCCCAGAATGGCGCTGGTGTGAGCCCTGACTGTGCACTAGCTTCACAGATCTCTGTTGTTTTTATTTTGTTTTCATAGCTCCCCTATAAAGAGTAGAGGTTCTCACTCTGGGCTCCAGGTATAGGGTCTTTGTCTGAGACCCCAACAGACAGTCATACTCCATGCAGGTGTCTCTGAAACCCAGACACCTCTGTCATGGTGCGTCTCCAAATTGCTGGTACTAAGAGACCCCATACTACAGGACCACAAGTCTGCAACTGGTTCTGACTTTATGTATGCTACCGTCTCTCTGGACACTGGCTCCTTTAGCAAATAAGGAGGTTGACTAGACATCTCTAGATGTCCTGGCTCTCTGGAATTAAGAAGGTAGAGGCCCAAGGTCAGCAGAGTCTCCAAAGCCAGGACTCCCTTAGGGTTTCAGGCACAGTGTCCTTTCTGGGATGTTCTGGGCTCTGAGAACCTCATTCCCCTTTCCATGAGAAGCCCCAGAAGTAACTTCAGGTGGGAGGCAGCCCTTCACCTGCACAGTGACTTGACTCCCCAAATGATCCAGACACCCAGTAACCATCCTAACTGTGGGTTGAGGTGAGCGATGAGTCCTCAAAGGTCCTCTTATCCAACTCCCCCAACTTACACATAAGTAAACTGTGTTCCAGAATTGTTAAGAAGGCTTGGTCCTACTTAAGCGTTTATTTAATGACTTAATGGCAAAAATGCTATACAAAATAGAATCCCTTCCCGGAAGGAAAAATGGCAGCCTGAAACAGTTACAATATAAGCACTAAGTGTCCTGTTCAAGTTCTAGATTCCAGCCCTTCGCTTTTCCACCCCTGCCTCCAGCCTTAAGGGGAAGCTACCAGGGTTCTGGAATGTCAATAGACATCTGCCCATTGTGGGACAGCAAATCCCTGGAGGGCGGGATGAGGCTTCCTCTTCCCTTGGCCATGCAGACATCACAAGTGGCTCATCAAGGCCTCTTTCATCCAGGCTTCAGTTCTCAGAGCTCCAGCCAGACTCTATCAATTGATCACAGCCAGCACATACAGTCAATGCTGTCTGCTTTCCCAGTGAGTTCAGCCACAGGCATCTCTAACAGAAATGTGTCTGTGCTCTCACGGCCCCGAGGACCTTATTTTAGGTACCGCACCTCATTTCAACCCTGACAAGCCTGTGAGGTACGGTTGTCATTGTACAGACTAGGAAAATGAGGCCTAGAGGCCCTGGGCTCACACACAGCTAAGCTAGGATAGATACTGCCCAGGGTGAGCCTGGGGGCGGGGGCGGGGGCGGGGGCGGGGGGCGGGGTGGGGTTGGGGTTGGCTGTCAGGCATCACCTGCACTTTAGACTCTCCCATTTCCTCCACAGAGCTGCTGGCGTGACGTCTTCCCATTTTGTCTTTTCCAAAGGAAAGGTGCGCTCCTGAACTTTTCTGCCCACCCTCTGCCTCTGCCCCCAAAGCCGCCTCTCCCTGGTCCTGGTCAGTACGAGATTGTGGACTACGAGGGACCCCCTAAGCATTTCATCTCCAGTGCGTCATTTGTGTCCAATACCAGCCGGTGGCCAGTACTGTCATCCAAACCAAGCCTGCCCGGCCCAGGTCAGAGAACTGTCACCCCAAATTTTCTGCTTTGTCATTCCGAGGCCATCAAATACCACCAGTTTATGGGCTGTTTGCTAAACAGGTTACAAGGGTGAGGTGGGCCTAGCAGGTCATGGGCTCACAGTTTCAGAGCCCAAAAATGTTTTGTTTCTGAATATAAAGGCGGCTTTGAACTTGAAACCAAAGCTGGGAGGTCCAAAAGGCCAGGGACTCTGGGTAGCAGTGACTTCACTGGCTGAAGTATGTACCTCACAGACCTCCTTCCCGCCTCTTCCCTCCCCTCCGCTCATCCTTCCCCTCCATTCCTCTCCTCTTTTCTCCTCCCTCCTCTTATCTCGTGTGTGTGTGTGTGTGTGTGTGTGTGTGTGTGTGTGTGTGTGTGTGTGTGTATCTGTGCACGCATTCCATGACCTGAGCGGATGTCGGAGGACAGCCTGTGGGTCCTGGGGATCGAACTCAGGCTCTCAGGCCTGGCAGTAGGTACTTGAGTCATCTCAACACCTCGATTTTGGTTTTGGAGACAAAGTCTCTCCCTGAACCTAAAGCTCCCTCATTGCTTCTGCTAGGCAGCTGGCCAGGGAGCCTCAGGGACAGCCTGTCTTCATGCCGCCCGCCCTGTGTGAGAGTTGCAGGCGCATGCCGTCACCCTGGCTTTTCCATGGTCTCCGGGAGCTGAAGTCAGGTCCTCATGCTCATGCCATTGTTCCAGCCCCAGATGTTGTTTTAGAAGGAAAGGGCCAGGGCATTTGTAAGATTCTCTTAAAACTTCTTATTCTTAAAGATATTGAAGCCTCTAGAATAGACTGGCCAAGGAATTTTAAAGGTAGATAAGGTCTGAAGGGCAAGCTGTCTGTGCTTGGGGCATTTGTGGTGGGGCCGAGTCTCCGGGTGGTGTGCCTTGTTTGTGATGGACACCAGAGACTGAGGGGGTGGTTCTCGGTGGAAGCCACTCAGCTCCTCCCTCTCGACCCATGAGCTGAAGGAACTTGCTCGGAACATCTAGATCTCCTTGAGTTAGCATCCTGAGGGGCCCCCTCCACCAGGACAGGCTCACTCCACAGTGATGGGTGGTCTCTGGGCTTTCCCCACCCATCTGCATCTCTCAAGCCCCCTTGCCTCTCTCTGACGATGGCCAGAGCCGGTGGCATGTGGCATGTGCACAGGAACTGGAAAGCGGAACTGGCAAGGTGCTCACCTTGTCTTTCAAACTCAGCCATTAGGCAAGCACTGTTGACACCCCCATTCTGGGCACCGCTGAGGGCTGAGGTGACTTAGGGACTAGTGCTGGCCTCCAGGGGCATCTGTCCGGCAGGAGAGAGCCCCTCCCTCGCTCTTTCACCCACAGGCAAGGAAGTGGTTCCCAGCTTTGGTTTTGCGATATATGAAAGTCAGGTCAGTGAGGCCTCAGTCTTGCCCTGGAGGGCATCTGAGCAGTGCAGAAGAACAGTGTCTAACACTGTTAGAGCTCTGGAGGCCTGGGGATGGGTGTGGCTCCTGGTCTGGCTGTTTTGCTAGGTCCTCTGGGAATGGTGTCTTGAGCACGGAGAGGTTCCTGATGCATAGACCCCAAGGCAGTGCTCCAACAGGCCATTTCTGTTGCTGTGGTCACCTCCATCAAGATGATCCTGAGGGTATGCTGGGAGGATGCACGTGTACACATCTGTCCTCACGCCTCCAGCAGGCACAAGTCAGCCTGGACCCATGGGCTCCCCTCAGTAGCTTCTTCCTGAGAGGACACGGGAGAGATCCTGGCACAGTGGCTCCCAAGTCTTGTTTGCTGGAGAAATATGTCTTGCAATGGCCGTGGCTTTCAGGTTTTTTTTGGGAATTTTTGAACTAACACAAAAACCTACCAGCTAAACGCTCTCTTCTTTAAGAATACTGTTTTACTTGAAATGTTCATTTCACATTTTCTAGAAAGCAGTATTGTAAAGTTGGTTCTGTTATAGAAGTTATAAAGGGTCGAAGAATCAGAAGCCACAGTTCAGAGGCCAAGGTTAAGAACCACATAACAGGGCTGCAAGGATGGCCCAGTAGGTCAAGTGCTTGCCATACAAGCACCCACGCAAAAGCCAGAATCGATGGTGTGAGCCTGTGACCCAGGATGGAGACAGATAGAGTTGAAGGTTTGGTGGGGGACCTTGTCTCAAAATAAATTAAAAGTGGAGATGGGTAGAGGAAGATACCCGAAGGTGACCTCTGCCCCTACCCTTAAAAAAAGAGAGCCACATAACACAAGTCCAGTCGCCTCCTCTCCCTGTCTTTCAACACATGTAAGCTGCAGGGCAGGAGCAGAGCTCCCTCGCCCTTCCCAGCTCTGAGGCTGGGTCTGGCCCCTCCAGCCACCTCTCTCCCTTTTGATATCATTTCTTTCTTTCTTTTTAGCCACATACAAGCCAGAGATCCCAGGGAAGCAGTCCTTCCTCTACAATGAGGACAACAAATGGATCCCAGCCATCTAGTGATGCCACAGAAGCTGGCGGGAGGCTCCTCCAGCCAGGCCCCCGACCCTGCTCCCCAAAACATCCATCAGCAGAACACGCCTTTCCTCTGTCACCCAGCCCGGGGTCACATACTGTCTGGAGCTGCCTTCTGGGGACTGGCCACCCCTGCCCCTCCCATGCATTCCTGAACAGAAAGGAGGAGCAGGCAGAGTTCTCTGGCTACCTCGATGTCAGCCTTCAAGCTGGTTTTGGTGACTCGCCTCCCCAGAGTTAAGGGATCTTGAAGCACGGACTCTGATGTGGCGCCCCAGCCTACTGCCGAGACAGCCTGTGGTGAATTCCTTGCTTAGAAGCCAGTCAGCCAGGACTCTGAGACCTGGTCCATGGGCCCTGACCTCCAATTGCCCTTGACTTCTGGGAGGCAGGAGGCTTGGAGGTGCCTGCAACAGAAACACAGGGATATTCCCTGGGCACCCCTGCCCTCAGCTATGACTTGTTATCACACAGTAAGAACATGGAAACCGGTCATGAATCACTCATCAACCATGGACTTGTAGGCTCTGTATTCATCAGCAGACAAGGCAGGACCCAGCTGGAGCTGGAGGCCTGGAACCATGGTCCCCAGCGCAGGGAGGACCTGTGTCCCTTCCTGCATGTTCTCACTTCCCCAACCTTGCCTCGCCTTCCTGACTTCCCACTCCAGTTCTGAGAAAGCATCAGTTTCTAAGTTGAACGGTGTCTCTAACAGACCATGGCAATGGCTAGAGGAAGAGCTGACCAAGAACCGAGACGAAATTAAACTGATCATACATCTTCTCTTTCCCCAGATGTTGATAATGTGTGCCACTTTTCTAGATGGAATCCTCCTGGGCTCCCTTCCCTCCTCCAGCCCCTGATCCTCTTCTGGGATGCCTGGGCCTCTTGCTTCCCAGGGCCCCTTCCTTGAAGTTCTCCGGGAACTATGCATCCTGGGCCTCCCATCCAGACTGGCTTCCTGATTGGCTTTTCTCTTGGGGTTGGGGCGGGGCATGAGGAAGAGGGAGGGAAGGGATGAAGAAACTTATCCAAATAAATGGAATTATTGCTTCTCACAGAGCTGGGCTCTTTGTGAACTTCAGATTCCTGCAAGCTAGGGCTTTGGAATGATGAGGTAGCCTGGTATAACCGGGCAGCATGAGGGCTTCTGATCATACTGATCCTGGGGACTGGCTGGCCTGAAGTCCCCTGGTCCTGGGTCACATTGGGCAGAGGCTGGCAATGTACTGGAAAGTTACATCAGGCCTCTTCAATCATCCTGATGCTCCACTGAGTAATGATTGTCTCTCCAAGTAGACCATGAAGCAGGCTACTCCGAGGCGGTGAGAAGGACGGGGCTCACCATACCCTCTAGAATTCACTGTCCGGGCCGGGGCTGGGCTGAGGCCCTGAGCTCTGATGGTCTGTGTGATGGTCCTCCGACACTCTGAAGATGTCCCAAGCTGCTCACAGTTCTGTCTTGACCCCCAGATGGACGTTAGGCTACCTGGGAGCAGACACAGGTCCCACACCGGGGTCATGCCCAGTTTGAATCTCAAAAGCTTTGATTTAATTGAATTGGGGCACGGGATCAGTTAGTTTTCTTGTTGCTTGACCAGAATACCTGACAGAAGGAATGGCAAATCAGTGTGAGCATGTCCTCCATGGTGATGGGGACAGTGTGGTGGTCGGGACAGTTCAGGATGTGGTAGCCGGAGTGAGCATGAGATGGCTGTCACTCTGTAGTCACAGGAAGCAGGTGAATGCTGGCACTCAGCTGGTTTACTCCTTCCTCCTGTCCCCCAGTCCCTGAGATGGTGTCACCTACATTCAAAGTGAGTCTTTATCCTTCAGTTAAACTTTCACAGACATGCCCAGACTCAAATCCAGACATTGTTATTAAAGTTTTTTTTTAATTTACTTCTAATTTTTTGATACAAGGCCTCCATCTGTAGTCCATTGTCGTGAAACTCCAGAGCCTCTTTTCTTAGGCTCCTGAGTGCTGGGATTACAGCCATGCAGCAGCATGCTGACTTACGAAGTCCTGTGTGTGCCTGGGACAGAGCTAGCTGGACCCAGGATGCTCTGCTATTTTTACCACAGGGCTTCCCCAGTGATAATGCACACACAAATCACTAGGGTATCATGTTAGAATTCAGACTCAGTGGGTCTGGGATGGGGCCAGAGAGCCTGCATTTAGACATATTCCAGGTGATGTCAATGCTGCGTGCCTGAGAGCCGTGCTTAGGGTAGCCAGGTCTGAAACACACTCAGCTCCTCATCTTGCTTCTTCTACTGGTTCATCCATCTTTTGGTTATTTTCCCTCTCCTCACTCTTCTTGTGCTGGGTGGTTTTATGTCGACTTGACACAAGCTAGAGTCATCTGAGAGATGGGAACCTCAATTGAGAAAATGCCTTCATAAAGCCAGGCTGCAGGCAAGCCTTAGGGCATTTTCTTAATTAGTGATTGACGTGGGAGGGTCCATTCCATTGTGGGAGGGAACACCCCTGGCCTGGTGGTCCTGGGTTCTATAAGAAAGCAGGGTGAGTGAGGCAAGGAGAGCAAACCGGTAAGCAGCACTCCTCCGTGGCCTCTGCATCCGCTCCTGCCTCTGGGTTCCTGCCCAGTTTTAGGTTCCTGTCTTGGCTTCCTTCAGTAGGTTCCTGTCTTGGCTTCCTTCAGTGATGAACAGTGATGTGCAAGTGTAAGCTCAATAAACCCTCCCCTCCCCAAGCTGCTTTGGTGTTTCATCACAGTGATGATAACCCTGACTAGGACGCCTCCCTTCCTCATTCTTACCTGCTTTACCCTTACTCTCTTGCTATAAATCCACGGGGCAGCAGTTACCTGAGGACAGGTAGCACTCTCCCCACCTGCCAACAGCTACCCTCCTGAAGAGAGAGCTGTCGGTAGGGCCCTGCCGCATCGGTAGGGCCCTGCCGCAGCTCCGCAGCTCGTTCCTCCGTTCCTCCCAGCTTTTCACTTTGGGGAACGGCAATCTTGTGAAGGCATCCCTGGCCTCCTGGCTTTCTCTAAGGGCAGGAATAACCTTTTCAAGGCTTGTAGAACACTGCCCTTGGGGCCAGGTGACCTTTTTAGCTTGAGAACCCTCATCTATGTTCTGGTGGCTTGCTGGAGGCTGTGGATGCACAGGGTGTGGAGGCTGCCAGCACCCCGTTCTGTGTTCTGCAGCAGGTGCGCGCTGAGGCTACTGATGCCTCTGTGCGCATGTGCCAGCCGCAGAGACCCAAAGGCATCCGTGCCTCTTTTGTGTCAGCCTCGGTTGCACACTAGGATCATCTAGGGAACTTCAAAAAGTGCATTGCCTGGACCTTCATCCAGAATGCTGATTTAGGGAAGAGGGCAAGGTAGAGGGTGCCCAGATGATTCCGATACACCAGCGAGGAATACCCCAGGTTTCCTCCTCGCTCTGGGCAGAAGCTGTGCAGCAGGAAGCTAAGAAGGAACTCCGCACACACGGAGTCCTGGGGTGTGCTTGGTACTGTCCGTCGCTGCTTTGCCCTACCATCCTACCACCCTCACACATGACTTAGCTCTGATGCCTAGTGCTGTGTCCCAGCAGCAGGGAAGCCTAGCTAGGTGGAGGCATCCCTGAATGCTCCACAGTGTCACTTGAGCAGGGCTGTACCAACCATGTCGAAGCGCCAGGCAAAGGAAGCATAGATAATGCAGATCCTGTCTTTAAAATCTTGAGATTAAAAAATATATATATTTAATTTTTTTTTCATTTTACATACCAACCACTGTTTCCCCTCCTTCCCCTTCTCCCACTCCCTCCCATCTACCCTCATCCCACCCCTATCCACTCCTGGTAGGGGGTAAGGCCTCCCTTGGGCATCACAGGCTGGTATACCAAGTTGGGGCAGGACCAAGCCCCTCCCTCCTGCATCAAGGCTGAGTAAGGCATCTCACCATAGGGAACGGGCTGTGAAAAGCCAGTTCGTGTACCCAGGATAAGTCCCAGTCCCACAAACAGATCAAGCCACACAACTGTCACCCACATTCAGAGGGCCTAGTGTGGGTCCATGGAGGCTCCCAGCTGTCAGTCCAGAGTCTGTGAGATCCCACTAGCTTGGGTCAGCTGTCTCTGTGTTTTTTTTCCATCATGATCTTGACCCCCCCCCCCTTTGCTCCTATAATCCCTCCTCCTCCCTCTCTTCAACTGAATTCCAGGAGCTTGGCCTTAATTTTAAAATGACTTTAGATTGGGCATTATTGGGCCCACCTGTAATCCTAGTGTTCTGCACAGTGAGTTTAAGATTAGCCTGAACTACACAGTGAGACCCTGTCTAATAAATAACAACAAATAATAATAACCATCTCCCAACGCACTAAACTACAATCTAATTGCATTGCTGGATCCCCTGGCATCCTGTCATTGTGTCTGAGGCCCGCTCCTCACTGGTGTAGCCTGCATCCCAGGGCTGACTGTAGGCAGGGCTTGTGTATGGATTCTGTTGAAACTGGAAAGTTCTCCAGGAAGCTTAGTTCTTAAACTTTAAAAACAAAAGTATGCATAAATGGTGCACAGACATACATGAAGGCAAAACACCCATATACATAAAATTTTTAAAAAGTCTTCTTCAGACAGACACAAGAAATTCTAATTCATGGGAAGCAGAGCTCCTGACCCTTCCCCACATCAGGGGCCTTTGACACTCACTGGAGAGCCTGAGGCTCAGAGGCAACCGCTGAGACCAGTGAGGACCACACTGTGCATTTTATTGCTAGGAAATGGAGTAGATTTGGCTGTGGAAAGGAAGAAAAGGAGGGAGGGAGGGAGGGAGGCAAGAAGACCTTCCTTTTGATCTCTTCCCTGGACAACATGAGGCTTGGTCTGCAGGTCCCCCTTGCCCCAGAGGAGTAGACACCCTCCCATGGCTGGATACAGCGTACCAATATGATGTCACTGCTGTGTGGTTGGGATGTATCGTTGCCTTTGGGGGCAGTATGAGTTGGATCCAGAGAGGAGAGGAGAGTCTGGAGAGTAGGGCCAAAGTTGGCCCAGGTCTCGGATGCATGGGTCCCAGCCTCAGGACTCTGTCTACTGGCCTCTCTGTGAGGGCCTCACCATTGCCCTGTGAGCCTTTCCAGGCCTACTGTCGGCATCAAGGATCCCCCTCCTGACAAGCAGTCTTGTGAGACCTCATGTGGATTCTACGGCCTGTCGGAATGAGCTCCTCTGTTCAGAGTGCTGTGCTCATTCTCAGCCTTCAAGTGCAGGACAAGATGCCCTTGAACAAGGCCACAGTGAACAGACAAAGAGGAAGGAGCCCTCCACCTGAGCCTCTCTTCTGGCTGGAGACTCCCAGAAGGAAGGAGCGTGTGAAGCTGGGGACGTGTGCACAGGTAGGCTTTTATTACTAAATCCTATGATATACAAAATGCATAATAGAATAACAGCTAAAAAAATAGTCCAAGAAATATGAAATCCATATTTTTGAAATGATAAAAATGTAACATAAACATACAAAATGCTGCATATATATACAATATATTTATATATATATATATAACATAATGAAAACTGTAAATAAGAAATGTGTACAACAGTAGGTGGCAAGGGGGTTTGTTCCTGTCAGTTCCATGATGCTGACTGACTTCCATCTTGTTCTGAGGAAGTCAGTGAGAAATACAGTTTCCTCTCCAGTGTCCTTAAAAAGGTATTTGTTCTGAAAGTCAAGAGTTTTCAAGTTAATTAGCCAAAGAGTGAGAATTCTTTGGTCTGAAGGGGCAGAAGGATAGAGAGGGTCAGAACCCATCAGAGTGGCCGGCGTAACCCTGCAGAGAGGCTGCGGTGACCCCCCAGGGCCTCTGCGAGGGAACTCAGAAGAGAAGGCAGGCTGTTGTGTTGACCCGGACGTCTGGTCTCTGGGGGATGGGCACTTGCAGGAATCTCTGGAGTGAGTTCAAGTCTGGAGGGGACATTTAGATCCTGGGACCTCCATCGTCCCTCCCTGGCCCTGACATCACTGAGTTTGTGGCTTGAGAGACCTCTACCCGAGAAAGGCATTTCAAGTACCGGCGCTGACCCGTGAGGACAGGTTGTGTGTGGCCTGAGCCAGGCCCTGGGTGGGGATGGGATGCTTGAGGCTGGGCCCTCACAGCTCCTTCAGGATGATCTGGATCTTGCCGTCCAGCTCTCCCATGTCCAGCAGGAAGGCCACGTGGTTGCTGTAATGCTGGATGATGTTGTTGTCCATGTTGACCAGGATTCTGGAAGAGCGAGGAGGGAGACATGGTTGAAGCGTGGCAAGCCCCTGTGTCCCGGGCCTCTGAGTAACAAGGATGATAGCCACACTGTAGGCACCTCAGAACCAGGCTGTAAGGTGGGCATTCCCAGTGGCCAAGTCTCCGCTCACACCCAAGCCTGCCAGTCATACCATGCTGGTGTCTGCTGGTGGACCGCCTCCCTTCTGAGGAGCTGAGTGCGGGTACTTTTGAGTGACTGAGGCACAACTCTGGGAGAAATGCTGTGTTCTTTAGTCACTAGACTGGGGACATGGACTTTAAATTCAAGTTCAGGAGGTGTGACAATCTGGGTTTAAGGAAAGGCTACCCTGAGCCATTCAGGTGTGCCTGCCTGAGCCAGAGGCAGGGGCCATACAACACCCCTTCCAGTTGACTCCTGTTAAGGTGAAAAGTCAAGTAATAGACTGGAGGGATCCTCCAGGCAGGGATCTGGCCAGCCCAAGAAGTAGACTCTCCATGGCTATAGACTCTGAAAGGACCCAAATCATAGTTTATGCCAAGGGGTGCCCTGTAAGAGCTGCTTCCCTGATGGGAAGTCACCTGGAGGTGACCTGAGCATCACTTAGTCCCTTCCCTGCTAATCTTCTGAGTAGGTAATGGAATTGGATATATACATTCAACCATACATACATCTGTCTGTCCGTCCATCCATCCATCCATCCATCCACCCCACCCCACCTCTTTCCTCTATCCACCCATCCATCTGTCCTCCATATACCCATTCATCCCTCATCCCTCAGTCTTTGCTAGATCCTTTTTTTCTCTTTCTTTTCTTTTTCTTTTATTGGTTTTTCAAGACAGGGTTTCTCTGTGTAGCTCTGGATGTCCTGGAGCTCACTCTATAGGCCAGGCTAGCCTCGAACTCAGAGATCTGCCTGCCTCTGCCTCCTGAGTGCTGGGATTAAAGGCAATAGTCACCACTGCTTGGCTACTGGACCCTTTCATGTGCAGAACATTGCTCCAAAAATAACAGCTGTGTGGAGATTAACTGGACCTGAATTCTGCCCACCAGAATTTCACACAGAAAGGGAGACTGAGTTTTTATAACTAAGTCACTCTAGTTCATAGAATGGAGAAGCTGAGGTTCAAAGAGGTAAAGTTATTCTGTGACTGCAGTTAGTAAACAGCAGAGCTCAGGATTTAATCTAGACCTTTGTCTCTCTCTGATATCATTTTTAAAGATAAGGGAAAAGAACTACAAAATCCTATAAATTCAAGTTAGGAAGTGGAAGACAGAAGGGAACCAAAAATCCATGTTTGGGAAGAGCTCGGGTAGATGCCTCCTGTTGTGAGGACTCAGGGGAGGGCGGTGGGGACAGTGAACCTGAAGGAGCCCACGGTCTATACCCTGCGTTCTCTGCCAGCACCAGCCTAGCAGCAGCTTCTTCTTTTGGGGGAAAAGGTTGGAGCTGGGACTCCCAGAGGCTGGAGCTGGCAGGACCCCGCACTCCAAGGGGATTCTCCCACCCCTCCCGTCCAAGGTGATCTTCATCTGGGGGGCTGGAGGCTAGAGACAAGCCAGAGAGCAGGGCTGGATGGGGAAGAGAGGGTGTGCTCTGGCAACTTAAGGGTTGGGCTGTCTGTTTCCACAGTGGCATCAATCAGTCTCCAGGAACTGGGCAAGTGTAGGAGTGTCTCTGGGGCAGTGGTGTGAAGGTGGACCCTCCCGTAAGAGGTTAGTGATGACTGGGTTCCAAGCGGCAGGGGCTTGTCAAGAGCTATTGCCACTTCCGAGCTTCCAGCCTCTTTTGCCAGCATCAAGTTAAACCCCTGGCCCACGGCCAACAAAAACAGTGTATTGGTTAATCTTTCAAGCACTCTGTGATGCTTGTAAAATTGATTTTATCTACCTTGGTCGGGAGGACTTTGGGGAGGGTTTATGAGAACAGACTAGGCTTGGGGCTAGAAAGTCCACCTTTCTCTGATGTGGACATATATTTGAATGAACTTGGATTTGGAAATATGCTCTTTCAGACCTTGGAGACCATCTTTGGGCTGAGGTTTTCATGACCATGTGGGCCATGGAGTGATGCCCTGGTCTGTAGAGCTGGGCAAAGAAAGTAGCTAGGCTGGCTGCAGACGTCATTGGCATATTTCTTAGTGGTCAGAGGAACAAGGAGAGGGGATGAGATCAAACTGTGGGGGAGTGCATTTTAGGATGCTGAGAATCCCTTTTGCGAGTCCCTAACTCAGGACCACTACTTTGAACCCCAGCTTCTTCGTCTGTAGGAACAGGGAAGATCCCACCAAGCTCGAAGCCTGGTAAGATGATGCCAAGCATGACTGAGTTCAGCATCTGGCCGGAGGGAAGAGCTTCTACAACGGAAGTCATTTACAATGACAGTTGGTGCAGCTGTCGGGGTTGATGGGAAGGCCTCCAGCAAAAGAGCCAGGAACTAGAGAGACGCGATCCTCACAGCTCATGGCTTCTCTGTCATACACAAAGGCTATCCCTGGCCCCTGAGCTTGGCCTGGGGTGGGATCTGCAGGGGAGCCCGGCACTGGAGAGGCAGGAAGTAGGGTGTGTGGGCGTGGCACTAAAGAAGTGGGACCCGGGCTTGTCTGGGCAAGCAGACATTAAGTAGATTCTACTCCCGTGTGTGAGCCCCCGTGTGAAACCGAAACTTGGTGGGAGGTGGAGGACGGGGTGGGGTGAGGTGGGGTGGGGTGGGGTGGGGTTGGGGGAGACCCCACACAGACAAAATCCTCTAGATTCTCATGCAATCCAAACCAAATGGGTCTTTTTCTACATCCCAGCCTTCTGCATGGGAGGCTAGCTGGGAGCCAGAGTAGGCTAAGGTGAGCTGGGCTGGAGGCAGGAAACCAGGCCTGGACATGGGCTTTAGCGGGCAAGGCTTTCTCCATGGGAGAATGCACAGACCACAGTGTGGGTCGTGTGCAGGTGCAGCTGGAGTTTGATCATCTAGAGGGGTCCAGCTATGCTCTAGGCAGAGCAGCTGGAGGACAGGGAGGTCCTGAGGGGGTATGGCCTGCTTCTCTTCTGCCTACTCAGCCTGCAGGTGGAAGAGGCTCTTGGAGCTTCTTTGACCGGGATTTCCCACTTAACCGCCCCTCCCCGGCCCATCAAATTCCCCCTTTGGCTCCTATCAGCTGCCCCTTCCCATGATGCTCTGCCTGGGGTGGCTTTCCTGGGCCTTCACACCTCACCATGCCTTTGCTCACTACCCCACCCCTGCTTATCATCTCTGAGCCTCAGTTTCCCTGCCCGTAAAATATGGGTCATGTTATCTACCTGCCAGTCCGACAGGAGGGTTAAAGGAGATAAGCTTAGTCTGATGACAGACATACAGGAGTCAGATGAATGGTGGCTGCAATAGCAGACACTATAATAATAAAAATAATAATAAAGGACTTTGTTCTCCTGTGGTTTGGGGACTTGAACTTGGGTCTTCCAATGAGTGACCTTGTACTTCCTCTCTATACCAGTTATGTCACTCCTGAGAGGACCCCTGAACTGCTACCCCCCCACCCCATGCTTCCTGCTTAGGTGTAGTGTCTGGTTTCTGCAGGTCGAGAGGTGACCATGGCCTTGGCTTGACTGGGGGCGGGGGGACTCTCCACCGACACTGAGCATGCTCTCTGCAACCCCACCACGGCCGAGTACAGACTTGGCAGGGCTGAATCAGCACTCACCCTCGCTTGCATTTCTTGTAGACTTTGCAAATATTCTCCTCGGGGAGTCCGTACTTCTCAGAGATCTGGAAGGAAACAGTAGGGTTTCACTGCCTGAGGCCATAATGGGATTTATACATACTTTATACCACGGCCTTTTAGGCTATAAAAGTAATATACATATCGGGAAAACAAAGGACAACAGTTCTAGTTCCCCAAGGTGAGCACCATCAGCCTCTGAGTGTATACTTCCCCTTGGTGCTCTGTGTGTATGCCCAAGTTTACACCACACGTAGGGGGCTGACATCTTGTATGGTCTTATGATACGTTGTATCACAAACACATAGCAAACTGCATTTTAGTGTCTATAAAGTATCTGCCAAGCATCAGCTGCTTCCCTGGGTTCTCACCTAGCAGCTGACGTTTGTATCTGTGCTGAAGGATCGATCTTTACTAGGCAAACTCTTGGTGGTGTCGGCACCCCATAGGACAGACTAGATGTAATACCTTCAGGATAGGTCCTGCCATGTACCAAAGCCTCCATGAGTGGGCTCTGTCGCTGTCTTGGGAGCAATGGGCACGCTCCTGGCGCTGCTGTGAGGTGGGGTAACCCACATGTTCCTCTTCTGGGCAGGAGTTAGTAATTGCAGTCGATGGAGGCAGAACACCGAGTGCCCAAGCCTGGCTCAGAGGCTAAAAGCCCATTATGTCCACGTGGGAGTGTCCTCTCCAGCTGAGGCTCTAAGGCTGACCAAGCAAGCAGACTGAGCCCAGGCCAGTGGTCCCTTCCTGCGCTGGAGTTGCAGAACTTTTGGTGGTTGTTTGAGACAGGGTCTCTCTACATTGCCCTGGCTGTCCTGGAACTCACTATTTAGAGCAGGCTGGCCTTGAACTTATAGCTATCCAGCTGCTTCTGCTTCTGGAATGCTGGGGTTAAAGGTGTGCTCTACCACACCCCGAGAGTTGTAGAACTTTGAACAGCATTCCCATGTCTCTCAGTTTCACTTTGGGGAAATGGGTGTGGGAATAGGTTGGGTATGCATAGAATGGCTCTGAAAGGATTAGGTCTGGCCCGCTGTCGGGGCTCGGTCAAATACCGGTGCCTCATGGAACTGGCAGCCTTGGAGCTGCAGCCCAGCCCAGGCCTGGGACGCCAGTAGCAGGCAGCCCTCTGGGAATTTCAGAAAAAGGGTCAGGTTCAGTGTCCTGGTTAGATTGACAGAGATCCCTCTAAACTAGAAATGTCCCTAGATTTTACTTCAACGGCAGTGTAGCTGGATGCTGCCAGGGAGCAGATCTCAAGTCTGTCTACGGAAGACCTTGGGAACAAACTGGGTAGAGGTAGTGGGGGCTGTCTGGAAAAGTGGCAAGCTCTCCACCCCTGGAAACAGAGAAGTTAAGAGCGGGTGCAGATGACGCTAATCCTGTAAATGGCTCCTTAGCCCAAATATTCTGTCTCTATTCAAGTGACATAATTGACTTTTTGTGAGCCCAATTTCCTGGGGCTGATGCCAAGCAGACTGACAATGTTACGAGAACAGGACTGCCCAGAGGGCAGACAGCTTGGACTGGCCTGGCACTTATGCCACTTTTGGCAAGTCTCTGACCTCTTGGAGTGAGGGGGTGCTAGACAGTGTCCAGTGGAGAAAAGGGGAAGCAGGCACTCATGGCAAACATAACCAACTGCCTGACGTGTGAGCCTCCTCCAAGCAGCCCATGAAGGTGGCTGAGGGTCCCCCAGCTACACGTGCTGGGCTGTCCTAAGAGGTTCCACCTTCAAGTCCAAGGCCCTGATGACCCTGGTAGCCAGACACCATGCACTTGTCCAAACTGGGCTGTTCTGCCTGCTCTCAGGTGGCTGGGGGATGGGGAAGGTCTCCTTGCCCAGATACAGTCATCCTCCGCCACCCCCAAGTCTTGCAAGTAGGAGGAATGAGGCCCCCTGGGAGGGAAAAATGAATGTCTCTGGGCCCAGCCTTTTTGTGTGTGGGGGTTTCATTCCCATTAAAACAGAAACAGGTTTGCAAAGCCAACAAAAGCCCTGGCCTGTCAGATGGCAGCCATCAGATTAAGGAGGATTTATGGTGTGTGTGACTCTCAGGGTGGTGCAGGGTTCTGACAAGGTGATAAGATCGGAAGGCACACCCCCTAGCAGGGCCCTGGCCCTCTGTGGGGTTGGAAAAGTAGCCCACCAGAGCCCTCCTGTGGGAAATGAGGCACCTTACCGCATTCCTCAGGCCCTTCAGGTCCGGGGTCTTCAACATGAGTGCGTCAAACACCTCCTCTGTCTCCCTCCGCACATACAGCAGAACTGAAAACCAATGGGACACAGGATGCTGAGCGTGGGAGGCTCTCGGCAGGCAGAGAGGGGTCTCAAAAGGCAAGACCTGAATGTAAGCATGCAAGCTTGCATCCAGCCCTTTCTAGACTGCCCTGACTTTGGGGTGGAGGGGGTTGAATCTTGGGTCTGGCTCTACTACCTTTCAACACTGTTGAGCCTTCTTTATGTGTAAATAGGGCTCTTGCTCATTACTTCAGAGCTGCCTCTGGAATCAGGGACAGTGTTCAGAAACCCCCTAAGTACTTGGCTAAGCTTGGTTCCTGGCTGCTGGTGGAGCTTCCCTAAGGTCATCTAAGCCTCCAGGGGCTTCTGTGCCCCACCTCCAAATCAAAGATTTAAGGATGTTAAGCCAGACAACCAGCCATGGGAGCCCACCATACTCTTATCCACTTAGAGAACTGTGAGCCTCGCCTGGCCTCACAAGCTTGTTGCCTGCGCCGGCTGCCCTGGGACAGCCATGTCCAAACAGGGGCAAAGCCACAGATGTCCTCTGTTTTTCTGTGACCACCTGTCCAAGCCCTAGAGTGTTCTCAGCCATCCCCAAATCTTGGCCTAAACATACTCCAAGGAGTGAATCAGGCCTTGGGTGGTGTGGACTTCAGGAAAAGCCTCATGGGGTGGGTGGGTGGGGCTTCTGAGAAGGCTCTGCAGGGGCATGTGGAAGGGCTCGGAGAGACCCCGAGGGCTTAGGCTACCTCTCTGAAGGTCGTCTTCCTTGGCCTGTTTGGAGGGAAGGACCTCAAACTCCTCGGCGAAAGGTGAGCAGGTACGCTTCAGGGGCAGCCTGTGGGGACAGCAGAGAGGGAGGGACCGGTGAGGACAGCTGCCCCTCCAGGGGCCCTTGGGACAGGGAAAGCCCCAGGAAGGGATAGCAAAGCATCAGGATAGAGGTGAAGCCCTAAACCTGGGAGGGAGCAGGTCTAGCTGGGTCAGAACCCAGCCCTGCCACATGCCGGCAGCACGCTGGACTGGAGTCCTCTCCTTGACCGCAGGTGACAGATTTGAGCAACAGGGCATGGAGAGAGATGTCATGCTACAGGAGGTGGCCTGACTTGCATGGTCTTAATCAAAGCGGACTGTTAGCACCATCCATGTTGTTTCTTCTAGAAGAAGCGAGCTATGGAAGGGGAGAGCCATGGGAGGAGTGTGCACTGTGGAGTCTGGAGGGAGACCAGCTTTGGTTCAAGTCCTGTCCCTGCTACTTAACAGCCGGACGAATAGGAGTAAGCTGCACTACTTCGCTGAGCCCTGGTTTCTTCACTAGGGAACCACCATGACTCTGTCTTTCTGACCCACCAAGGTTGGTATGAGGTGATGAGAGAGAGAATTTGGAGCGAAAACCCCATATAAAACATACACGCTGTTTATAGGGGAGAAATGGATTCCAGCAGATGACTTGCGTGTAAAGCCAAGCTGATTGCGGCCACACACTCATGCTGCCCTGCCCTCCTGCCTCACCCTTCACACATTCAGGGGTCCCCCAGGGCTGCCAGAGCAAAGGCTGTGACTGACAGGGAAAGGCATGGGCGACTGTGGCCTCTGGAGGTGATGTGTTGGGGAGCAGGGTATCCAGCATAGGTCTGCTTTGTGCTCCCCGAGCGTGTATCCCCATCTCAGGGACCTTTCTTTGCCTTTTATTTTTTACAAGCAGGTGTCTCACCAGAGATCTGCCAACTTTCCATGTAAGGCAAGCCTATAAAAACCTAGGCGGTTTCAGTGGGAAGGATCTAGGCCTAGCTCCCAGCAGCAGGGGAAAGACAGGAGGCAATGTGAGGGATACAGGGACTGGAGAAGGACAGGACCCCTGGCTACTCTCTTCCCATACCTGTCAGCGCTGCTGTGTCCCGCTGAGGGGGCAACCTGCGACAAGAAGAAAAGACATTTCTGGTCAGGCACAAGAAGAAAAATTAGAGCAGCCTGGGAGGGAAGGGGGATGGGTACCACGTTAGAGCCTTCCCTGCATGCTCTGCACAGAGAAATCCCTAAGTGAACTGGGGTCTCCAGTCAGGAAGAACTGTCCAGCTCAGGCTGCTGAGTCAGGGACTCAGGGTCACAATGGAATTGTTGCCGTACTACTGGCAGAGTGGTGATTCCAGCCAACCCAGAGGCAGGGAGCTGCGGCTAGGGGGCCTGCAGCTGGGGACCAGTGATAACGGGGAGATGGAGATGAAGCAGTGCCCGAGCACACTGGGTGCCCGCTGCTGCCGCTGCTATGCTGTCCAGTGAGCATCACCCAGAGGGGGCAGGGGATGGCTCAGGGCCACACTGTACTCTGTTCCTTTCTCCAGGGCCAACTCTTCCCCACTATATGCAGACACTGGCCTCCCACAGAATATCTGCCTACCCAGCTGGGGCCACTAGTCCTAAATGAGCAACCTCATTCCTGGGGCCTCAGGCTACAGATGGAACCAATAAAAAAGGGCTGATGTCACTGCCTTGGCAGTGGCGGGGGTGGGGGGCGGGGCAGGGGGCAGGCTGCTTCCAGGAGAATGGAAAGGACGGGATAGGCTTATGGGTGTGTCTGAGCTACGTTGTCCAGCTCTGTGATATACTCCGAAGTCAGACACCATTCACAGATCAGGCAATGTGACTCCATCTGCCCATGCTCCTGAGGAGCCATGGGAGCTGGGCCTTCAAGAGAAGGCTAGCTGATAGAGATGTAAGCAGATGGAAGTGAGGCTGGCTGCTGGCCTTGTCTGGCAAAGGGAACAGATGGTTTCCCTCAAAGGATGGCCAATCAAGAGGGAGACAACGAAGCTGAGTTAAGGCCTGGTGACTCCTGGCCATAGATGCTCGGTGATGGCAACCCTGTCTGGGCACCTAGATCCTGATCTGGGCGTCAGAGTGGGTCAGACTCTGGCTATGGGATTTTAGGAGTGTGCCTCCATCCTGACCCTTGGGCCCAGTATTGTTGACCCATGGGGTGTAGTAAGGGCCAAGACGCTGAAGGGTTGCTTACCTTTCATAACCCTAACCCTAACCCTAACCCTAACCCAGCCGCCCAGCCCAGAGGTGATTCCAATTGACATCCTCCATGTGAGCTTGAGCTCGGAGGGTTTGACGGACAGGAGGACCTACTTTGTCGGACCTACTTTGTGCTGGCGGCTATATCCAGCTCTGTGATATACACCCACATGGTCACTGGTTATTTCTGAACCCCTTGCAGGTCAACAGAGGCAGTTTTCTTTTAGTTCATGAATAGCAGGACCTGGAAACGCCCTAATGGGCAATCATGACGGTGGCAGGTAAATCCCCCAGTCATGTGCTTAGACAGGCCCTACCTGGATCCAGCCCCCCCCCCCAAGTCCCCTCTCCCACCTGCCCTGCCCTCACCCCTCCTGGGCGCTGTAGGCTGGAGAAGTGCAGGTTGGGAATAAACAGTACAGGCTGGGTCTCCAGGTCAGCTTCTGGCCGCAGGTATGTGGTCTCATTGCCCCTGAACCCCGACAGCAGGCAGCCTTTGATGCCTGCTGGGGAAAAGAAGCCATTAAACTCAGGGGTCCCTTCCACACAACCCCCTGACCAGCTTCTCTGGCCTCCTTCCCTTAGGCTCACCCCAGGTGGCCCTGTCCACTGACCATTGTTGCTGGAGTCCGGGCATTTGACCTTCCTTCGAAACTGCTTCCGCTCATCATCTCGCATCTTCCTCTCTGCTCCCTGCAAAGAGGGGTGGTGCTCACCAGGGGCCGGGGGCGGGGCCGGGGCTGGTCAGGGGTTGCTCACCAGGGGCAGAGGCGGGGTGGGGAGGAGGGGGGGTGAGGTGTGTGTGTGTGTGTGTGGGGTGTGTGTGTGGGGTGGGTTGGGTGGGGATGGGGGGGTTGGATGGGGGTGGAGGATGTCCACAGCTGCTATTTTGCATCTTAAATATGGGCCAGGCCACAGGGAAAGTGGGAAATGGGAAGGTACCAGCATATAGCCCAGCTTCCTGAAGTCAGCTCAGGCCTTGAGAGAGATGGGGAAGAAGGAAGCATATAGAGTCAATGAAGATGTGGGGGACGAGGGGGGACTGGGGGGAGTGAGAGGGAGAGGTGAGTAGGAATGAAGAGTTCTAATGGAGAAAAAGGAGCCATGGACCCAGACTCGCAGATCCCTGCAGAGAGGGGGCGTAAATACAGATGTGGAGACAGATCCCTGTGGAGAGGGGGCAGAAATACAGATGTGGAGACAGATACCCAGAGGAAAGCAAGGGACAGAGAGGGACAGGCCTCTCAGAGGAGCAGGTGGTGTCTCCTGTCCTGTCCCCACCTTATCACAGAAGATCTTGATCTGGCAGACGGCACGGTGTACCAGGCGCTCGGTGCCTGCCCCACAGTCATAGGTATCAATTTGCAAGTTCAGGGGGACACCCTTCACCCCCTTCTGTGAGGAGAAGTCTGTGCTCAGACAGTTGACACCGATGAACACCTGGGGACAGAGTGGGGAGATGGATAAGTGGCCTACTCAGACCTGTGTGTTCAATGAATACCCTTCAGCCATCTTGGGCTCTGCAGGCAAGCATCACTATCCATCCCTCTTCCCTTTCACAGATGGGAAGGGGGTGCTGCCAGTGGAGCCAGGTTGGTATGCCCCTTCTAGCTCACTGAGGGCACCCCACCCTGGGAGGACACTAAGGGTCCTTTGAGGACTGTAGATCTGAAGGTTTGTTTCTCCGCAGCTTGGAGCAAGTTAGGAACACAGCTTTCCTGCTAAGCCAGGCACACAGAAGATGACAGAGCCCCTTCACCTAATGACCAATCACAGGCAGCATGGGATGCTAGCACTTTCTGTTTAGGTAGATCCATGCCATCTGTGGCCAGTGTTCCCCCCAGTTATCTCTAGTCTACAGCTCTGGAGCAGAGACAGAAGTGTTCCCACTCCCCAGGGAGTTGGGGTCCATGAGCCTGGACCTGGACCCACTGATCTGCGGTGGGAAGTTTGCCAGCGTGTGGCTTGGGCAGACTCTCTTTTACAGATGGGGATGAGTAAATGGATCCTGTGAGGCTGGGAGAGTTCACACTTACTCTTGTCAAGCAGGGACACTGGCCATTCCGGTGAGGGGATGGTTCAAAGTCTACCTACAGCCTGTGTTCTCTCAAGGACAGCCTGGGGCCTGTCTCGGCCCTGGCAGGCTGGGGGCCAGACCCTACTGCTCTAGTCTGGGCTTGGTCTCTGGGACATTTCCCTTGGAAACAGCCCTGACCTGAATGGTGGGAATGGGGGGGGGGCATCTCCACAGACCCCCTCGGTCACAGGCTTCAGGGAAGCTCCCCTCACCCCACCCAGCTGTGATGCAGCTTCCACCAGCTCCCAGCTTGCACTGAGACCCAGGCCTGGGGGTATGAAGACTATGAGAAAAATCCTCACCGAAACCCACTTCTCCCTTCCCATGAAACTCTCCCACCTCCCTGGCCCACCCCTCCCTTCCCACCTCCCATGACGGGCAGGCTCCTCCTCTAGCCCCTAGCTCTGTCTGAATAACAACCCCAGCTGGACCCTACTCTTGTTCCCATGTCTTCTCTATGTCACCCCAGGGGAGGAAGGGGTCCTCAGATGCCTTTGGGATGAGTGGTCCCAGGCCCAGTGGGTGTGATCAACCTGTTCAGGGTGAGGAAGGACAGACTGGAGAGAGGTCACCAGACCCGGAGGGCCAGGCTGGTGCCCTTTCCACACAGCTCTCTGCTCAGAAAAGCCATAAATGCCCAACTGGTGATAGACTCAGGTGCCTGTGTGGGAAGACCACCTGGGTTCAAGCTGCCATGAAGGAAGCCAGTGGCCTCCCTCTCCCTGGCTTCTCACTCGACTGACCCCATGGCTATGCCTTGTTCTAGCCTCTCAGACGTGGGAGTGGGAGCTCAACCACAGCCCACAGACTCTAAGAAGCCAATGTCTGGGATCAAGCCCTCCCTGCCACTTCTGCGCCCCGGGTCAGCATGCTACCAGGGCCTTTGAGCCCTATTCTGATGGATGGGCAGGCTGAGTTGCTAAACTGACATCTGTCAGGGTCACGTGATCCCCCTCACAACCACTCAGCTGGGGCTATAAGCTCAACAAAGCGGCATGGCTTCTGAGGGGAGGGGCTGGGAGCAGGCCAGCTTGTCAGCCCAGAGCCTGTGCCTCTGGTGCCTGTGAATGCCACCACCTCCCTGTGTGTTCAACACAGTGGATATCAGCACCCTGGGGCCCCTCCAGCCCTCCCAGGCATGGTCACTCCACCCAAGCCCACACTGACCTTGGCCTCCTCATTGACATTCCACACAAAGGACAGCGCATTGTAGGCCACCTCCTCGATGTGCTGGACTGTGTTAAAATTTTCTTTACAGTCGGCTGAAAGGGCAGGAGACCCAGGTCAGAGGGAAAGGGATGAGGATGCTGTGGGGAGGGGAGCTATGAACTGGACCTTACTCTAGCAAGGACCTGCACCCGACCCCCAAGCTGTGGTTTAGAGGTTTCGTGGGAAGTGTGACACAGAAGATCTCTTAGATAATGCATCAGGGACAGCGTAGCAAGGGGCGTGGAGCAGGGCAGCGGGGTAGGAGTAGAGATCCTAGCGGCTGTCATTTATGAAATACTGATACAAGGCAAGCCTCGGTAAATCCTCCTAACTCTGAATATTCAGTTTACATAGGATGAAAGTAGGGCTCAGAGAGGTTGGGTTTCTTGCTCAGGGTCACACAACTCATGAAAGGCAGAGCAAGGAGCCCACTATCTGGCTCTTAAGCCCATTTTCCTAATTGCTCCTTCATCCAGCCTCTCCGGAATCTCCTTGAATAGTCTCCCATCTGTACACAGCCAGGCAGCTAGCCACCACGGACAGTTGGATAAACTGAAGAGAGGGGACGTTGTCATAAAGGCATGCAGAAAAGGATGGAGCCATGTGGGAGTGATCCAGGGACAAGGTGTCCCTGCCAACCCTCTTTAAAAAAAAAAAAAAAAAAGACCGATTCTCATGTAGCCCCAGACCGGCTTTGAACTCTGTGTAGTCAAGATGATCCTCCTGCTTCTACTTCCCAAGTGCAGGAATTCCAAGTCTATACCACCATGCCAGCTTTATTCGGTGCTGGGGATGCAACCCAGGGCTTCCTGCATGCTAGGCAAGCATTCTGTCAGCTGAGCTACCAGTTCAGCCCCACTGCTGTTCCCCACGGTGGCCAACATCACTATTCACTGGCACCGTCCGGGTCCCATGTCCTGTCTATCCCAGAGCGAAGCAGAAGAGAATGCCTGCTGTGTCCATCAGAGGACGCAGTCTCCTGCACTGTGCCCTGCTGGGTTTGATCTGGGGCAGGAGAGGGAAGGGGCGCAGGAGGAAAGGCTTGGGGTTCACGCTCACCCACGTCGATGACTCGCTGCTTGGCGGTGGGCTGCCGGGAATGCCAGTGCCTCCAGAAGCGTAGCTGCTCTACCGGGACCTTGTCGTTATCGAACACAACCATCACCACGCTCTGCAAGTGCGGCGGCCATGTCACCCTGGTCTGAAGGTCCAGGCACCAGGCTCCCTCCCAGAGCATGGCCCCGCATCCCGCTTTATCTGACACTCAGTGTCCCCCCCAACACACACAAAGATGCTCACCAGCGCCCCCTTCCCAAGCTGCCCCACACACCTTGACTTTGCTGGAGGACAGAGCGAGGCCTTTACCTCCCGCTGGGGTGCGCAGAGTGACCGGATAGAACTGACCCTTGTTGAGGTAGGCCATGGGTGACTCGCCCGCTTTGATGTGAATGGCTTTGGGGGACCCCAGGGTGTATTCAAAGTCGCTGTGGGGAGTGAGAGGACGGTGAGTCAGGCTCCAGGCAGGGGTGTCCTGGAGCATAGGGCAGGGGCCTGGATCTGTGGTAGGCTTGCTGTGTAATCTAAGTCATTTTCCTGTGTGTGTGGGGTCTATTTAATGGCTCTGTTGGGTCATATTCTAGTTGGATAAAGGAGGTCCAAAGAAAACCAGGGAGAACCAGAATAGGGACAAAGCCATGGGGGACTAAGGACAGCTGAGCCTCAGTTTTCTTTGTCCTGGGAGGGTTGAGAGATGGTCTTACTATGTAGCTCAAACTTGCTAGGAATTCAATATTTAGTCTAGGCTGGCCTCAAACTCACTATGAAGCCCATGTTGCCTTAAAACTCATAGCAATCCTCCTGGTTCTACCTCTCAAAGACTGAAGTTACAGGTATGTGTCTTCTAACAGGGTGCTGAGCTTAGAGTCCCCTGTCACTGCCCGGGAACAGGCTGTAGATGCCTAGTACGTTTCTAGGGATACTATGGAGCTGTCTTCAGCCTCCTGCTCAAACAGCCAAGGGTCCTAGGAAACCAATTTACCTCTTGAGGCTAGGATAATCCTCTGGACATGGGGGTTCCGGGGATGTTTTCAGGATATCGGGGAAGAGCAGCGACTATAGAGAAACAACCACAAGAGAATAAATGACCAGGTTCAGATGGCAGGGTCTCAGCCCAGGGCTGCACACACATGGCCACACAGGGTGTGCAGCGTACAACTTGGACACCAGTATGTGGCAGCCCAGCCTTAGGTCTAGAACTTTCTCCCATCAATTGCAAAGCTCTGATCTTCTGTCTTCTCTCCTTATGTGCATGCACACATATATCCAGGGGCACTGTGCGGGTTCAGGGGCAAGCCCTCACCTCCTGTGGGTCATCTTTGAAGGTGCTGTCTGGCTGCCAGCGCTGTGTGGGTGGCACCCCGTGAATGCTCTCAAATAATGAGTTGAGGGACCCATTGTCATATATGTCACTAGTGGGCAAGAGGTAGCTGTCCATGGAGCCGGCTTCCAGCTTGCTTGGACCTGGGGGGAGGGGAGTGGTCTTGCCGGGGGTCGGTACCGCCCCCTCCAAGCCTAGTAAGTTGTTCTTCTTGAGGTGGTCCGTGTAGTCTGGGCTTCCAGACACATTCTCTGTCAAAAATTTCATGAGGTGCGTGGGGCTCTCGAGAGGGGCAAGATCTGGCTCGTAGTCCATGCTGTGGTAGAACCTGGGGGGAGAGACAGTAAAAGTGAGCACACGCCTCCTCTGCAGGCTGGACTGATGGTGACCCCATGTAAGGTTTACCACTGTCCCCCCGCATGTGAGACACTGGACCCCACGCAGGCCAGTTGGCCACAGAGATGAAAGGAGGAAGGAATGAGGACTGGTGTTCTCTCAGGCCCTGGCTTGAGGGGACATCCTGCTTTCGTTAACACACAGCTAGTTAACTTAAAACACTGCAAGTTTAGCCGTTTGTTTCTGAGCCAAATGCTCTTGTGCCAAAATGTCCCCACTTCAACAGCTGTACTGAGTGGGGTGTGTCTGGGAGGGGGCTGTGTACCTGTGAGACAATGGCCATGTGTTCAGAAAAACGTCAAGTAGAATATACTCAAACCATCAGTGTGGCAGGTATAGCACTGTTGTGAGATATTTGATTCCACTGTCTAAAGATACGTGATTGGTTTAATAAAAAGCTAAATGGCCAATAGCTAGGCAGGAGGTATAGTAGGAACTTCTGGACACAGAGCTCTGGGGAGAAGAAAGGCAGAGTCACCAGCAGATGTAGAGGGAACAGACTTGCAGAAGGAGAGGGAAAAGCCACAAGTCTCTGGCAACACGCAGATGAATAGAAATGTGTTGATTTAAGTTATAAGAGCTAGTAGGACAAGCCTAAGCTATAGGCCAAGCTTTTATAATAATAAGTCTTTGTGTCGGTGTTTTTTGTTTGTTTGTTTTTATTTTGTGAGCTGAAGGCCCAAAGAAAAATCCACCTACATAGGACTGTACGAAAGTTCTTACTTTTTACTTTATATACGTCTATGGAGTTTGAGTATTTTGCAAGAAACAGGCATTGCCCTTGTGGTTGGAAGTTACTGAACTGTAGAATTCATTTAAGAGAGGCCTGTGCACCCAGAACCCTACTCCAGCAGTGCAGGGGAGTGCCTGAGCCAGCTTCTTGCTCACACTGGGCCCCTGGAGAGCTGCAATGGCACCCAAGACATTTGGATTTTCCAGAAGCCACTGGCAGGCCCTATGTAGTGACCTCTGTGAGGTCCCCATTGACCAGGAGAGAGGAAGTGCAGGAAGAGGGGCAGGATTCCGCCCTCTCAAACCCCGGCCCTCACTAGGCCATACTCAGCCTAGGATTCTTTCTGCAAGAACATTGTGGCATAAGGCGTGGATGCCAGGCAAAGGCCAGAAGGCTGGGAATAGAATCCCAGGAGTCACCTGACCCCTTGGAGGAGGGTTTAGAGCCTGGACAGAAAAGCTGCCTCTAAGGCTGTCCTGCTGCTGTGGTTTTGAAGTGTATTTTCAGTAAATACCAACACGCATGGTATGGGGATCTGGCATCTGGTGTGTGTGTGTGTGTGTGTGTGTGTGTGTGTGTGTGTGTGTGTGTGTGTGTGTGTTTATACGTGTTCAAGCACAGCTTTATTATAATTTCGCAAAACTCTTCTGCTGACATCACCAGATTTTTTTTTTAAGATGGGGCCTCACATAGCCCAGGCTAGCCTCAAATTCACTGTGTAGCTAATGATGACCTTGAACTCCTGATTCTCCAGCCTCCACCTCTCAAATGCTGAGATGGCAGGCATGAAGGCATGCACTAGCATATCTGGTTTTATGTGGTGCTGAGCATCGAACCCAGGGCCTCATGCATGGTACACAAGCACTCTACCAACTGAGCTACACTACCAGCTAGGTATCAGTTGTTCTGAAACCTTCCTATTGTACAAGCATAAAGACAGGTAGACTCCAGGCTGGACTGTACACATTGTTTCCTTCTGATCTTAAAGGAAGTTAAAATACAGGAGTCCCAAGAGGTACTGTGTGTGGGTTCCAGCACCGCACCCCTTATGCTTGACAGGCAGACCAGCCTGAATTCAAGGTCCCCGACAGAGCAGAGCAGTGAAGAGTCTAAAGAGGCAGAGGTGGCCTTGAGAAGCCTTACTTCTTTCCTTGGTCATTTCGGCCGCCGGTGCTGGAGGACAGTATCCGCTTGTCCTTGGGACCCTGGGAGGAGAAGAAGGAAAGATTGACAAGTTGTTCTTGGCTGGGACCTGGCTATTGGGAGCCTCCTACCTTTCAGGGACTGAGGCCAGGCCCTGGAATGCTTGGGAGAAAATAGTTCAAGCTGCCCAGTGCTCTAGCCACCACTGAGACTGAGCCCCAAGCGACAGGGGGAAAGTACTTCCCTGAGCTTTCTAGTTGAGAACATGGGAGTGAGAGTCAGACTTGCCTGGCTGACTTACCTCACCATTTAAAAGTGCTGTGACTTTGGATAAATGGCTACCTCTCTGAGACTCAGTTTCTTCAAATGTTAAATGGAGGATTATAATACCTGCTTCAAGGAGATTCTAAAGCTATAGATGAATAGAAAAAAGGACACTGGCCCTTTTAAAAAGAGCACGTCGTGTAAGTGAGACCTTGTACAAAATGCTTCTCTCACCACCCTGAGTTTCTATCAACACCATCACTATGGCCTAGGTGGGGAGACCAAGGGCCAGAGCCTCTTCGGTGAGAAGGGTAGACTCCAAGTCCATTTCTCATTCCCTTCATAGATATACTACATGTTGACTGTGTGTCCTTGGGCAAGGCACTTAACATCTCTGGACCTCATATCCTCACGTGTAAAAGACACAACTAGCCCTGAAAAGAACTGTAGGTGCTCAGGGCAGTCTAGGGGCAAAGGCACAGCCCTGGAAGCGGCCTCTTGCACGGAATTTTATTTTACAATCCAGCTTCACCCTGTGAACCCCAGACTGGGATCTGAAGATGGATGGAGAATTCTGGCTTCCATCATGGCTTTGAGCTGGAGTAGCCATTCAAATTCCCTTCTGTTGACCTGAGCTAGACAGGATCCAGAGACTGCCAGTCTGTGGGTATTTGGCAGGCAAGGGAGCCAGGCTAGCCTGGAATGAGGACCAGAGACAGCCTGGGGCCTTTCCTGTCAGGAACCACATATCTTGGTCTCGCTGGGCCTCTGAAGTCATGAAGAGAATTCACCTTCCAACATGAGTGGGTGAACACCCCCACCCCTCACCCCCACACAAATTGGCTTTGAATGTTTATATTCAGGACCAGCCGTCTCAACAAATCCAGGAAGATTTATTGGAGCAATCCCCCAGTGCAAGAGAGCATTGCTCTCCATGTCAGTTCAGATGCTCAGGTAGGCAGGGCTGCCCAAGCTCCAGGTTAGCAAAGACACTGAGGCCTCACGGATGCTCTGTGAGGATGCAGGCTGTGCTCTGTTAGCCATTTCTGGCCCAGGCACTAGAGGTGGTAGCGGTATGTTGTGAGTCCATATTTGTGACTGATGACTGGTTCAGAGCTGAAAGGGCCCAATGCCCATGCCTGAGAACCAACAGTCCCCAGAGTCTAAGGCCCAAGGGACAAGAAAAGACAGCATTCTGGCAGAGGCAGGAAGGACAGGAAGACACTCAGGAAAAGGAGAGCCCTGCTGCAGGGGATGAGATGGGGGGGGGGGTGCACCAGTGGGTGGGGATGGTGGGAGACTGGGATGACCCAAAGGACAGGGCAGAAAGGATGGCCAGTGGGGATGGTTGCCATGAAGTGTGCTTGGCCAAGCCAGGAATCTATTCAACCAATATGTGCTGTATACCAGGTGACAGGTTGTGTGGGCTGCTGGGGCTTCAGCAATGGTCATGATGTGTGTCTACTCTCCAGGAGCTGTCTTGTAGGGAGATGGAAATGTGTGGGTCCACAGTATTTTGAAGGAAAGGGGTGATATGGAGAATAGAAAGAACTGGTGATATAGAATGGAGACCCAGGAGAACCTCCCACTCCCCATACTATGAGAAAATGAGGTGACATTCATGCTGAGGCCCAGGCGGACAGTAGGATTTAATCAGGAAAAGGGAAATGGCATTTTCAAAGGCCCAGGGTTGAGGGGCTGCTGAGCCCTGAGGCCTGACAGCAGAGACACACTTAGCAGATGGGCTCATGGCCTGAGGTGGCAAGCATACCATATAGTAGTCATAGAGAAAGCTCAGGGCTGCAACACTGTCATCATCCCCATTAACTCTCATCATGGCTTTGGTGGCGGCTGTCAAAGGGTTCTCCAGGTACGTCTTCCAGGCCTCGTCCTCATTAGTGTAGGGAAACTTCTGGAAGCTCACAGGGTCATTCTTTAGCAGTCTCACAGACCTGAAACTGTAGGCAGGTAAGAAGGGTCACTTGAGGATGGAGAGTTGGTGACATGCTTGCCACACAAGCATGAAGGGTTGGGTTCGGTCCCCGGGTTAAAAAACAAAAAAAAGCCAGATGCAGTAGTGTGCTCCTTTAATCCCAGCCTGGGGAACAGGAGACAGCAAGGTCCCTGGGACTCACTAGCCAGGTAGTCTAGTCTAGATGTGAGTTCCAGGTAAGTACCAACCTCAAAAATATGCAAGATGGAGAGTATGTGAGGAATGACAGAGAAGGTGGTCATCTGGCCTCCACATGCATGCACATATCTGTGTGCACCAGCACATGCACAAGCATGTGTACATACTTGCATACATATGTATGCATATGCAAACACAAACACGCAAATAAGAATTATCTCTTCTAGGTTCAGAGGAAGGTCCCCAAGACATAGCTGCTGCCACTGCCAGGAGGTACCAACCCTAGGAACGTGAGACTTCTTCCTCGGCCACCTTAGGCAATGAGCCTCAGATATAGATCAATGCCAAATTGATCTGCTATGCAGAAGCTGCAGACCTGGGGTCTGAAGCCCTCATCTCTGACACAAGGACCATAGTGTCGGCCAACCTTAGAAGGTGTCTGAGAAGTTCCATAGAGTGCTGCCATGGCAATACTGTTCACAGGGAGTCATGGCAACACTCTTCCAGCGAATGAAACTTGCAGACAGTGCGGCATGACTCCTGAGGTTGTCCTGAGACCATGAAAGGCACAGAGCCATGCAGATGATCAAATCAAGAAAAACAGTGAAGGACAGGACATCAGAGTGAGAGAGCTGGTGGGCAGAGCCTGGTCCTGGGGAGTGGCATTTTGCACTGACATGTATAGTAGGTCCCTGAGTAGCTGCTCATGACCAGGCAGAGGCAGGGGCAGCCTGGCACTGTGTCAAGACACCCAGATCAATACAAGGCACTATAGCCCAGGGACAAGCTGCATGTATGGGCTCAAAGAAAGGGATGGAGGCATACAGAGAGCAATGATGATTGCAAAATCAACCTCTAGCAGGGGATGGGATCGGGCAGGTGCAAACCTACTGTTAGTACTCTGGAGGCTGAGGCAGGAGGATTGCAATTCCAGGCCAGCCTGGACTACTGTGTGAAACCCTGTTTCAAAACCAAAAGACAGTGATAGCTTGTCCTTGCTGTGCCCTGGCTGTGTTCGGGCACTGAGCCTACGCACAGTCCGTGCACTGTCCTCAGTGAAGGCACAGCTGTTGTTTCCATTGGTGGAGGAAACAGCTCAGAGAGTGGAGGAGCTTCCAGGGTCCAGTACTGGAGTGGCCTCATGCTCTCAGACTTGAACCAGGGAGAGCGTGGCCAGTTGGTTAAAACACAACTGAGGCCACCCCTAGAGTCTTTTGAGAAAGGGTCCCACATAGCCCAGACTGGCCTCAAACTTGTGTAGCCAAGGATGGCCTTCAGCATCTGATCTTTTCTGCCTCCACCTCCCAAGTGCTGGGATTGCAAGTGTGGGCCACCGTGTCCGGTTCATGTGTTGTTGAGGACAGAACCCAGGGCTTCACCACACTGGGCAAGCACTCTCCTAACTGAGCTACATCCCCAGCCCAAGGGCTTCTGACTCCCTCCAGCTGGGGTAGCTGAGAATGTGAACATCTAAGAGCATCCTTGTTGCTGTTGCCGCCGCTGCTAGCCCCAGGACCACACTTGCAGAATGGCCGGGAATGTGTGGGTGCAGTCACCCGCAAAGCTCTCGTGATCATTTTAGGACACAGGGCACACAGGAGAAGTGGCAAGCGAGAGACTGGCTGCCCGGCTCAAAGATCAAGTGGGGTGTTCGGGTCTGCTGGGGTCCCAGAGCCCCCCTTTCTATAAGGGGCACATGGGTCCGACTGACTCACCCTGCTAGGGTCTTAGGAGCAGCACCGGATGCTATGAAACACAGCATCTGGATTGTTCCCACTCAGCAGCTCTGCCCCTTACAAGTTACTACATGGAGATGACCTTGCTTCACCTAACAGATGTAGGAACTATGGACTCGGACAGAAAAAGAAAACACCTATGATTAGGCAGCCAGTCAACCACCCAATCAGGATTATTATTATTATTTAGAGAGTGTTTTGTGTAGCCCAGGTTGGCCTTAAACTCACTAGGGGTTTAGCTGGGAATGACCTCTTTTATTTACCTCTTAAGTGCTGGGATTATAGGGGTGCACCACCATACCTGGTCTATGCAGTGCTGGGATTATAGCGGTGCACCACCACACCTGGTCTACGCGGTGCTGGGATTATAGGGGTGCACCACCACACCTGGTCTATGCGGTGCTGGGGACTGAACCTGGAGTTTCGTGCATGGTAGGCAAGCACCCTACTAACTGAGCTACAACCCCAGCCCACACCCAGGATTTCAGCTCGGTCTCATCTAGCTGCCAAGACGTGTGCTCTCCACTAGCCACACTGCTCTGTCCTTGACCCAGGTCTTCACCAGAGCAGGAGGCCACCCTGGTGCTGGAGTTGCAGGTGTTGTGCCAGACCATCGGGGGCGGGCAGGGGCCTCTAGAAGTCACTTGCAGGAAGTGCACCCCTTGCTGCCTGAGGTGTCCCTCAGGTACAGGCTTTCACTCGAGTGGAACCGTCAGTCAAGCCGAGCCCAGGCAGTGCGGGCTACAGGAATGATTCCTCTGCAGTTCTCATCCAGGATAGTGTCTACTACCGTCCCGCTGGGCCCCAAGGTGGAGGGGTCTGGGACTCTGAGAGGGAGGCAGCAGGAACTGTCACACAGGAAAGAGAAATGACAGAAACCTTCCTGCTTTAGGAGCATGAAGAGGGAGGCACACCCAAGTTTCTGTTGCTATAAATCAAGAAGCCTTCAGACAGAGTAGTGTGAGGTGGCCCCTCCTCACTGAGCCTGGGGTTAGAGGAATTTACCGAACGTGCCCCTGTCCCTGCCAGGCCCCAGGCTATAGGGAACTCCCTAACTAAGATGGCATGGGACAAGCAGGGGATGTCTGAGGGTCCCTACCTTCCCTGGTCGCCCACTGGTTAGCAAGGCCGACCAGGGCTCACAGTGTTTCTCATTTATGAATAAGGATCGTAAATGTAGGACTGTGAAGACGGAGTACATTGATTCATACTTGAGAAAATGCTTAGCACCCTGCCTGGCACATAAATGCTCAGTGCACACACGCCCTGTCGGCACATAAGAAGCACCTAATGTATGCATACCGCACAGACGCTCAAGGCTGGCTTGGAGCTAGATGCTGAGAGGGTGCTGTATTGCCAGACTGGTCATCCACAGGTCTGGACTCCCGTTCCTGGTCTACTTACTAAGAAATGGCCAGTCTCAGTTTTGTAGGACTATCCATTTTCTGACCCTTTTTGTAAAAGAAAATTTAAAAGGCAACAGAGTCATAACCTAAAACAAAAGAACAGAGTTTTCATATGGGGGTCTTCCTGGGCTACAAGGGTCTCTAATGCTTCCCTTGGGATCCCAAGTCTGACTCCTTAAGAAACAAGCCCCTCAGGTAACTTAAGCATCTATCATAGGCAGACACCATGCCAACTGTTTCTGGGTGGCACTTCATCTGTCACACATCAGCCCTGGGACACGAATGCCACTATCCCCTTTGACAAAAGGAGAAACTGAGACTCGAACAATCACCATCTAAGGGCCACTCAACCAGGAAGTGCGGGGGTGGCTCAACTTGAACTCGGACCTCTTGGACTCCAAGTATCAGCTCTCAGTCCCCGCTCACCTCCACTCTCGATGCCTTTCCTAGTCTGGAAAATTCCCTCCTCTGGAATACACTGAACCAGTTCTCCACAAGGCTCTGAGGAATTTCCCACCCACACAGGCAGGAGGCACGAGCAGGTGAGACAATGATAGGAAGAGTTTCTGGGCAGGAGCTGAGAGCCCTCCAGTTCTGGTGCCCATGCCCGTGTTTGCCACCAGCTGGCCTCACACTTTAAGGATAAGCATTTGGCTTCCTGGATATCTTCACTGTGCATAAGGTCAGCAGAGTTCTGTGCCAAATCCTGACATCAGGATCTGGGCCCTGTGCTCTTTCAAAGACTACGAGGGCCGAGGGCCCAGTGGTGAGGCAGAGCCGAACATGGAAGAAGCTGCTACAGGCTCAATGGGACAGGGCTTCCAAGAAAGAATTAGCCCTTTTCACGAGTGACGGTTCAGAACAAAGGGGAAGCCTATGAGGTCACCTTCCCTAGGTTCTGCCCAGATTCTCAGTTCATGTCCCTGTCCAAAACAGAGAGCGGAAGACCTAGTCAGGAAAGGACTTGTCCTTGGGCCACATTTGTGATGACCTCAGATCTTATCAGGGCACAGCACAGAGAGCCCAGTGCACCATGGGAAGAAGAAACACAAGCTCATGAGTTGGGGAGCTGTGTGTTCTTGAGGAAGGAAGGCACCTAGCCTTCTCGGCTGATTTCCCCATCTATTAAATGGGTCTATTGAACGTTTCCCACGTGCCAGTCAAGGGCTCTTCTAGACCCTGGGAAATCAGCCATGCCCAAGGCAGATAAGGCTCAGCTCCCATGGAACTTTTTGTCTAATTGGAGCAGACAGACTATAAACAGGCAGGTGAGTTAATTTTAGTTCGAGATAAATGCTGGGAAGAATATTAATGAGAACACAGCACTATCACAGAGTCACCCAGGATGGCTACTTTACAGCAGAGTTAATCTCTCCTGGGTTGTTAGGAGAATTATATGCATTAACATAAGAAATGTGCTTATGAGCCTGCCAACAATAATGGCCCTGTAAATAGGCCCTCATCATCATGGCCATCACCCCAGCACTCTAGGATGAGAGTAGAGGGGAGACTGCCTGAGGTCCCTGGATGATCACACACCCCAAACCCTAGGCTGTGAACCAGCTCTAGTCAAAAGACAAGGGAGACAGAATAATAACCCCTTGCCTTGCCTTTCGAAGTCCTTATCTGGCGGAGACTCCTAACACACATGGTGGTTATTATTCCTACTTTAAAGACCCTGAAAT